CTCTATAAGAATTGTATACCGAAACTGTGCCATTGTAGTGGTTGGTAAACAAAATTTAGGATTAGCAGTTTCATTGAGGAAACACTGTTTATTTTCTGTATCAACATTGTGCAATTCGAATTGATATTAACATAATTGTGTAGATAAATAATTCTCTTCAAAATTCATACTACATTTTCAATGAACTCACAGATTATTCTGTCATTGAATACTATATATATATATATATAAATCAGGGGGAAAAAAGCAAATTCAAAGGTGGATTTTCACCTAAGACAAGACTTACAATTTCATTTCCCTATCAAAAACTGAGTATCTCTCACCATGTCCCATAAAGCTCTGTTAAGCTCTCTGTATTCACGTGAAAATACGTCAGGAGTTCGAAGGAGGATTTTCCGTGGGAAATGTTGGATTGCCAAAAATAATTTCTCTCGACAAAACAATCTGAAATGTCTCTCAATGTCACTTAGGTCGCTATTTTGATCTTCGGAATCCTTTTTACGTGAAACCACCCGTAAAAATGTAGACACTGATTGTTTAAGGGGTGAGTTTTGTGTGTGCTTTTCTGAACACATATCCAAATGGAAATTTCCCAACTGGGATGAGAATTATTTTGAGAATTTTATAAACTCAACATTGGGAATTGTGTCACAGTTATAAAGTCCATAAAGCAATTTTCTAGAATGGATTTTATGGTTAGCTTTCATTTCTAGACAAACATATTTGCATATTTTGCATCACACGTGAAACTGACGTTAAAATTCAGGTGACAGATTAAATTTACTTGCAATATTCTTTGTGTGAAGGGTGCTTTTAAAATTCTTGTTTTATGTGTGCTTGAAAACAGCGAGAAAAGTCGTTTGCACTGTCTCAAGCGCTTTATTCTCCTTCATTCATGGCTTAGAATGACGTGAAAGCTCACGCGTTGGGTGAGGGCATAAAAAATGTGAAAAAAAAGTTCCCCTATAAAGCATTTACATGGAAATAATGTCAAGGTAAATGGAAGTAAATAATGATATTGTATAATATTTCAATTAGCGACGACATAATGCTTCACAATGGAAATTATGCATATCTTTAGTTGAAAGAACAATAGTCACTTGGGCGGTTGTGGGAGTGAATGGCTGAGGAAACATTATACTTAGCGAATACTTTGCGTTCTGCACTCATACCCGGGGCGAAATCTTGGCTTGTGGAAGTATATTGAATTACTACATCCATTTCATGTATAGTGGAGAAGTGTCGAGGGTTGGGTTTATTTGAGCTATATGACTTTCAGGGCTTTTTGAGAGCTGGAGTTCCCGAATAAATTGCTCTCGCTCTCTTTCCACGCTGCGAAGAAAGCACCGGCGATGTCTAGTGACTTGTAAATTTATCGATTTCCCACAATTGAATTCCGCTGTTCGGCACAGAAATTGGTCACTCACGAAGGGCGGGGGAGGGGGAGGAAAAGGTGTCGGCAGTGGACTTGGTAATATTGCCATCATTCAAAAATCACACTCATCCAAGAGTACACAATTCAATAAAAGGATGTGAAGAGGAAGGAGCTCTCAAGTAAGGTTTTGTGAATTGATTTTCCTCATGAGTCCATTTCTTGAATTCCTCCCAAAGTTTACTGTTCTTATCAGTCAACCCCAATGCGTTTTCATTGAGCCTTTCAGACATATATTTCTATACATATGAACACACACACACTTCCTCGGGAACTTTTGGGTTTCCTTTTGTCGGGATTCATTCATCGTCTCTCTGCTGTGTGACACTTTATCTATTCTTCCATTGATATTTGAGTATATCTTCTCTTTTTTCTGCTTTATTTGTGTTATTCCAAGTTGGGTTTCAAAGTAATTCATTTGTATAATGTGGACTTTGGACATTTCCCATCCAATCTTTTTCTGATATATGTACATAATGTTATTACCAGACACGAAAAGCAGCACATTGAAATTCGTCCACGGATGAAAGTTTTAATTGTGAATTCATCCCTTACTAATTAAATTCGTGGAATTTGCATTAATTCCAATGGTGTTCTTGTTCTCAAAATTGTGGTCTTTGTTGTTTGAGTTCACTCGAATGTGTCCTGCTATTTAATTCATCTTATTGTCATGTTATTTGATAGTTTAGTTGGAATTCAGTTGATGGAACAAGGGTTAAATTTCACTATTGCGTGTCCTCGGTTTCCTTCTCCAATGGATGGAATCTCATCGCACCATCAGCTGAAGGAAGAAGCAGTCGAAGGTGGCAATCAGATGAGAAATTTGATGGCTCGTGTTGCCCTCTCGACCCATTACAGGACCATCGGAGTATAATAATTGATTTATGCTCTCGACGATATGACACTGGTCGCACGTTTCGGGGCTCCGGTGTGATGGACTTCAAAGTCAATATACAAAATTGAACTATGGTTAAACTATGAGGGTGTCGTGTTTCTCCGCACTGATAAAGGGGCCAGAGGTGAAATGTTTAGAAACTAATTATTAAGTCAGCCGGTAAACCACTAATTTAGTATTCTCACAATATTGCAATGTGGCGTTATGCCTTAATCTCATGTAATTAAGGCTCTTGTCGCTCGGTTTATTCAACCCTTCTCCACCGGGTTAAGAGTACAGAATTGGTATCACAGGTTTCATTCTCCTCAGCCGGAGAACGTGTTGTGCGAATTTCATCATCCACACTTTCAGCGCGATTCTTAAAGCGGCAGCGTTAAAAATTGCCCGAACAGAGTTAATCCTGAAGAGCAGACAAAAAGCTCAACCATCCCCATTAATCAAAAAAGCTTTGTCATGCTGCAATACCTTTATTACATCCCACTTCGCCGCACATTCCACACTTGAGGCCTTCAGCTTTCTCATACCCAGTTCTATTCATGGGGAAAATTCGATATAAACCTTTTTATTGGATTTCAGAGGAGAAACATATTTGAAGAAATTGATTAAAGTGTATTGCTCCTTTTGATTCTCTCAATGTTTTCACTTGTATGCTGTTAAAGGGATTAAGCAGGTGAATTGAGAGTTGTGCAACAAGTTATTAGCATTGAAATTATCGAGAAGAATAGAGAATTAGAAGTTGAAATGATATCAAATGTCATGTCAAATTCAATTCGGAAGAAATTCCTGAAACTCATACAGAAATACATTTGACTTCAAAGAAAGCATTTCAATCGAAAATCCCTAATTTTATAAGGCTTCTCGAATTCTGCTAACAAATTCCTGCTTATTGTTGTCAGTTCTATCTGGTTCAATCCATATACTTATCCATATGCATGTACAGTTGCTGCTTGGGACGGAATGAGAGAGGAAAATGGGAGCTTTCACTCCTCGCAAGCTGATGAGAATACTAATATCAATGTAATTGAGTTCAAGCCGCGTTTTGGTGTCTAAATAACCTTAATGAATAGTGTTACTTCATCAGAACATGTGCAACAATGTTCTCGCAGCGAAATTGCCATTTCCTCTCCTGCGGAAAAGCGAATGCACAAGACAATATTTTCCCAACTGCGCCTGCAATATACCTTCGCCTTTCCGTGGGATGAAAGCTGTGTTGCAGTTGGGAAAAGTAACTCACGCGGGTGGCAAATTTGATTCACTTTCTGCTTCCAATTATACCGCTGAAAATTGAACACGATATTAAATTACTTGGAAATGAGATTTATTGTGTGGATGTGGTTGAAATTATTTCGAGTTTCATACATACTTAATTTGATGCTGAATTGGGTGTTTGACGCTCCAATACCGCAAATATGTTACACAGTAAATTGATTAATCCTTCATGAATATTCTAGATTTGGACTTTGCATTTAAACCCCCACAATATCTCATGTCTCGCATTGTGTCGCGTGTTGTTATCAGCAACATTTGCTTACAATTTGCGGCTGTGCACAATAAAAATAGTATTGAGACTGCGAATAGACATTTTCAAGAACATAGTTTGTCTGTACAAGCAATCTTTAGGCATATAATATATCCCAAATTAATTCCGCAAGATAATTAATTTCTCTGCCTTCTGCATTGTTTAGCAAAATTAATCGCTCACATCTTTATCGTATGCTAATGGATAGATATTGTGGTGGAACATGTGTATGGCCTCGTTTAAGGGTGCTCGAGAATAATGAAATTAACTATATTTATGTACGATTGCTCTTCATCAGGATAATAACAGACAAAAAGTGTAGTTCGTCCTGCCCTCAACAGCACGAGACCCACCCTCTCCTCCTCCCACTGGATTTGCCTGACTCCTTTAGAGCAATTTATACCTCTTACGTGTCGACATTTCTTCCATCGTAAAGATTTATCACACGATGCCGTGCGTAAATTGCGATAGTCGCGGAGGCGTTTTGGCGGAAAATGTTAGCTCCAGGCGTATAATTCTTATGGCTTGCCCCAAAATTCTCTATGGCACCACTTAATCATTTCACATTGCGGATCTCGTGTTGACTATACACTTTTCACTCCAAACCATATAGCAAACATACGCAGAAATACTGGAAATACCTGAGCAATTAAAATTGAATTAAAAGTGATATATTTGTGGAATTGTGATTCTCAAACGACATTTCTCTAGCATAATAAGGATTATTTAATTGAATAGATACGAGAGCCTGTAATTCAGAGCTTCCATTCATTGAAATCCCTCCCAAAGCTTTTTTCACAACGATTAGCATATTTCATTGCTGGTTGCACAAGCATATGCTGCGTCCGTCCGAGTTTGTTTCACGTGTGTTTCATGCAATTGATCTACGTCTGATTGCATGAAACCTAATGAAATTTAACGAATACTTTTATCTAAAAATAATTTGTGATATTTGATATATATTCAAATATTCCATATCATATATAAATTTTCACATTGTTATATTGAATGAAGAAGTACAATTTGAATATGAAATTTGAGAAATATGTAAAAATATTTCTCATTTCTTCCACTTCAAAGACATGAATTCGAATGACAATGATATTTTTCGACTGTGTAATTTCAATTTTCCTCCCTTTCTTTGAATCTTGCAGTGTCAGACTTTACGGAATCTCTAGCTCAAGTGTATGAACAACATGCTGAAGCTCTGCAAGTGCTCGTCTCGAATTACCGAAAGAAAAACAGCGAGCTGCGAAAGGAACGTCCTGCCTGCCACTCGACCCTGTTCCATGCCTGGGAGACGCTTTTGCAGGAGATTGAAGCGGATTCTCAGTCCACTAGCGACGTGGCGAACGCCCTATCACGACAGGTGAACAATCACATCCCCAGCTGTTATCTTTCAATAACGAACCATAACGTTATCATCGTAAATAATAGTAAATTTGCAAAATTACTCTTCTATGATGCAGAAACAATGAGTTTCGGTGCAATTCATAAATTTCGTCATGAATTTCAAATGATGTCTGTTTGAGAATATTAAATAATTATCTCATTCCGCATGACTGAAATTATATCCGGCAAAGCTTCATCCTTTTGTGTCAAAATGAGTTTGTTTGGGGTGGAAACCTTCTGTTTGAATTAATTTTCATAAAACACATCAACGACAATAAAACGAATTACTATTTGCCAACCATGGAGCAAATTGTCACGTTTCTGTGATTAATTTTTTCGGGAATTACATAATCTAGCTGTGAACACTCGAGAATAATTGTCGATTTTCGGAGGACGAAAACCATTACGAAGGAGTGTGATTTCTCTCGCAAACTCCTTCAGTAGAGTGTTTGCTAGATTCCCAGATTAAGGCAAATTGATTTCACAGCTCGTCTATCAATTACGATGTGAGACTTTTACACTCTTTGTTAGTGGAAGAGTCTAAGAGTCTATTAGGCGTCTCTATCCGTGTTGATTGTCTACGGGAAGTTTGCAATTTGGCTCAGGATTCAGGATATAGAAGCACACAACACTTGAAGTGCCTCTTAAGCAAACTGTGCAAAGATTCTCGGGAGTTGAGTTGATTTGCTTCCTCAAGTGAGACGCAACAATAATGAAATTGCATGGAAGTTATAAATTGAATTGAGCAGAGAAATTTGAACTAATGAATTACGAAATTCATTTGTTGCCTTTGCTTTAAGCTCTTTATTTGTATTTTCACTGAGTAAATACTATCAAAAATCAGTTAAATATTGATTAAAGGCAATCAAAATGATGAAATAAATGACACTCACCACAGTGAAATTGCAGAAAATAAGCAATTAATTGTATAGTATTTTTGATTTTAAATATTAATGAGCATTAACCAAAAAATTCCCCACTTTAAAATATACACAGTATTATAATAAATAGCATTTTTCTCTGTTTTTAGGTTGCTCGACCATTGCTGGAGAGGTCGTTTCACAGGAAAGTGCAGAGCAGAAAGATCTTCACTCACCGTGAGTCATTTGACACAATTATTGCAAAGACTGAGGAAAAATTATCAAAAGTAAGTGCAAATCCGCTGAGAATGGGTGAGAAAGATAAAATGGAAATCTCAATCAATTTGAGGATTTATTGGATTTTGTGACTCATCGAGTATCATGAGATGGAATGAATGGAAGAAGGATTAAATTCGGTATCGAGTGTCTGTGAATCTCAATTACTGGGGCGGAATCTTAACATGAGATTATGGATAATTCAGGATTATTCCGACACCTTCAATTCAGCCTTCGTCCTGATTTCTCCCAACCAATTCACATGCGAAGAGTGTGTTGCAAAAAAACAGAAAAGCCAAAACAGAGTGTGGATGAAAGGGGGAAAAAGTGCTTTTCAATGACTCTAGGATTTTCCCTGACACCATTGAAGCTATTTTCTCGTCAATACACGCCCAACCCTTGGAGCAACAGTTTGTAATGCTTGTTTGTATGTCTCTTTTATGGCAGTGCCGAATGGATTACAAACAGAGCTATATGGCTCACCGTTCGAATCCCACACAACATTCTCTGACTCTCTACATCGACTCGCACAATGCTTACGTGCAACAGTTGCATGCAACCAACGCAATGCTGGAGGCTTACCACTGCGAAACTCTGCCCCAACTGCTGCTGGAGCTGGAAGACATCTACAACGATCTCTGCGCCACGATCTCCGAGGCTGTCCTCCAAGGAGCCGAAGCCATCTCAATGAAGGTCAGTGATTTACATCGCGTCGGCAGACGGAGAAAAGTGTCACAAATGGATGAATAATTTCATGCATTATCTCCAATTTTATCTCTCGTTTGTCTACTCTATTTGCCCACTTTTTTCACACCCTTTCAACCCTCGATAAATCACACATGGCGCACATAGGTAAATTTCGTTACATTTCTTACTGAACATCATTTAGAATTAGCTGAATAAACCCATCAATGATTCATTAGCCTTGCGTGTCTTTAGCAGCGTTGGCTAGATGGATCTATTTTAAGACACAATATTGTGGATTAAACCAATTGAATGCGGGGAAATTTCCCAATAAACATGCTGAATGGGAGCGAAAAGGGAGGAAAAATCGACAGAAGCACTTGAATAAAAAATACGCTGATTGACGATTCCGAGAGAACACGCTGGAAGGGTTCTTTTTTCGTCTCATCTGCCTCAATGTTGGCAGTAAATATTTAATTTGCAATCATATTTTCTCAAAATAGGACATTATTTTTAATTTTTGCTGAATACTTCATGACGTTGCTTTAAATAGATTGTCACTTGTTTTCCATTAAAATTCACTATCGACCTTTCAATCACTGACAAATGCCATATTTGGGGTTTATGGGAATTTGCACCGTCAAAGCAAGTTGGGGCATTCGTGATGGAGAGAGAAGTCATCTCATGAATTATTCATCACGACGTCAATGACATGAAAATCGCATCGTCCCCACAAAGCCACCAATTAACTTTGCAGAGAAAAGAACAGAGAAAATTTCCTTTCCAACGTGAGAATACATGCTTTTCCTCTCGACTCACCATCTCAAGTGAGTCATTTTCCCGGAGCTCTTCCCTAACAGGCATGACGACAACCCAATTAGGGATCTTGTGCATGTGGATGGTGGCAAAGTGGAGCCTTTATTTGAGATATCTTGCAAGACTCCACCTCGTTACTATGGCCAAATACTTCAATTTGGAAAATATGGACATATTTGCACTTAACTCTTTAGGAGAGCTTTCAAGAAAGCCCCGAGGCGACAAAGTTAGATGATCAATTTGGGCATAAAAATAGAACAATGCGTAAGCTGTGAGGAATGCCTGAAGTTCACCGTGCAAGAATCATGAGAGCTTTCTAATTTCAATGGTACAAACTTTCACTCACGGAGTTTAGAAGGTATAACACAAAAATCCCTCATCGATGTTGATGTTACAAATTGGAAAGTTGTGCGAAAATTAATTTCCATGCTGAAACTGAAGAGTTCAAAAAGCGGATTTGTACTCTTCATTCCTCAAACTCACCTCAAGTAATTAATACTTCCATGGCAAATTAACATTAACCTACATTGTGTATCCATTTATCGACAACTCCCACGCCCTCGGGGGGTTGAATAATGTTTTGGGGTGAAGTTGATGGCAGACGCGCACGTCTCCGGAAAATGTTGCTAACTCTCTTTCTGGCGTACTTTTACAGGCAATCGAGCAGGCAAAGAGATACGATGGGCTGTCGAACCAGTGCAAGTCGGTGTCTGGACCACAGGATTTGGGTCACTTCACGCGAGTCCTGCCGCTCCCAGCAAATCCCTCGAAAGTTCCTAGGAAAGCCTTCGCCCCGCCCCAACCCGCGCCCGGACCCGAAGCTGAGGATATTCCGGAGTACGATGTAAGATTGGATTGTGGAGGAATCACTGCAGACACACATAAGAAACTTCTCAAATCCCCCACAGGAAAACCTCCCTCCGTCTTTGCGTAATGAATTGGTCGTGGAACGAGGCGCCTCCATTCAGGTTCGACCCTCACTGGAGGCTCTCAAACGGGAAGCCGCCGACTTGGAGATGCAAATTAGACAACTTCAGGTAAGTCCTCTGTTTTCTCCTCCCGCCCGTCTGGGATTACCCTCGTCACGGCGACAAAGAGGGAAAATGTTGGCATTTAAAACAAATATGAGAAAAAGTTTTTTTCACGTAACATTTCTCAATCGTACTTAATTTTCCACTCTTTTTTCAATTTACTCCAAACTTTTTCCTTGATAATTTATGTTATGGTTTTATGACAATGAGCAGTATATATATATATATTCTACTCTGTATGTTTCTCTTTCTGCTCCTGGTTTAATTACTAAAAAGCTGTAGGCAAAACAGAAGCACGCGTTCGGAAAAGTTGATTAATTAGCGATGGTACCTTGTTTTGTATATATTTTAGGATTCAGTAGATGCTCTAGTTCGTAACCAGTTGCGTGGTCTCGAGAGTCAACTTTACAACAAAGCCAATGAATTGCAAGAGGACATTTCGATGAAAAAGTTTGACCTCAGGGCCAAGCAAATACATCTTGCCGCTGTTAGGGCTCAGGTGAGTGTGAAATGAGAAGTTGTAGAACATTTTCCACAGCAACTTGTAATTATTCTCTTTTCTTCTTCGCCAACACTCATTTGGCGTTAAATAACTTTTTCCATAGATACAATTTGTCATAGCAAAGTTAAGACAAGCAGTTGCATTGCGCATAGTATTTTGTCATTGTTTTGAGAAGTTTTGCAATTCATTTCATGTGTTTACTTATGTTTATGCGTCTCGAGTTGTATAGATAAATTTTCTCTATCTTATATTTACTCTTTCTCTCACTCTCTCGCTACGTTATTCTTGTTCCCTTTTCTTGCAATAATTTATATAAATAATTGGCAATTAAGTCACAAAATATCGTCTGTACACAATATTTGCTGATCCAATCAGCATTTTTTTTTACGTCATTATGCAAATGGAATAACTTGTGTTTATCTTCCTTTTCACCTGCTGAATGCGTTTCCGTCTCGTGCAATTCGCTTAACTTGCAAAAATTCACGAGATATTCAAATTGGATAAACAGAAAAATGGGGATTTTTTTCATGCAAATTCCATCCCTGGATTTTCCACTGTAACTTGTTAAGTGAAATTCTGAGGCAACACGGCCAACACCAAGTTTAGCGCTTGATGGTATGCTTTTGAGTGGGAATTCAAAGAAAATTCGAGTGTGGGAAATGTTAAATTGCACTCAAGGAGAGCGACGTGCTGCTACATAGAATGCCCACCTTGTGATATGTAGAATGTACATCGCGATAATCGGATGCTATGTGAGTCTAAATACGATGCATTTGTAGAGAATTTTTCCAGAAAATCCTTGAGATATCGGATCTTTAATGGGGTGTTTTGACAGCCTTAGGCGGATTTTTCTCGCAATCGCTTTGAATTTATCACCAGACCGTGTGTGTTGATTTAAGTTTGTGTGGGTCAAATCGGAAATTATGTGGAAAAATTGGTCGAAAGCGTATGAGAAATCGATAAGCAATTTCACGCCAAATCGCCTTCTTTCATCAACCACAAAACTCTATATGTCGATTTCTTTCAGATGGTTTTGTTTCCCAACAATATAATTCATTCGCACATCCTTTCCGCCTTTCTGAATTCATTCCACAGAAGTGCATTTTCACCATTTTCACCCCCACACACACACAAACTGTCGAGTAACGTGAAACCGCAAATTGCAGTTGAAATTTAATTTACTTGCTTTCATTCCCCGAAAGAGGTCATCAAAACTGGACACATAAAGCTTTTTTCAGCTGATGGGGTGAGAAAAAAAAAAGATGAGAACATTGGCCTCGAAGGGATGTTCTTTTCGCGCAACATAAATTCTCCCCCCGGTTTTATTGGATACGCCAAGAAAACATTTGCTAGTGAAAAGTCATTTCTTCACTGCAATACATCTCTAAAGAAAGCGCTGTGGCGCAATAAAATGTCTCAATTCTTGCTGCAAGAGAGACACGTCCGTATTTGGTGATGGATGAGATGCTTGCTGGAAGTTTTCCACTTTCCAATTTTCACTATCGCGCATATTGTGTGGAAAATCTCATTTACAGCAGATGCAAATGGTGGAGAAAGAGTTTGCAGTCAAGTTATTACGAAATGCACTGCAGCATTTGAATGTTTGGTTAGGATTTCACCACCCTCGAGTCATTCTTATCCCATTTTCTGCATCCAGAGACATACAAGAATATATAGAGAATGTAAACATTTTCTCTAATAGAACCGCATTTTTCACTCTTATTGCACCACACAACAAGACAGAGTGAAGCGCTCTATGAATATTGAGTGTTTCACCATGAATTTCATATGAACTGAAAACTTTTGCATAAAAGAGGATTTTTTAATTGTTCGTCACTGCACCGAAAGTGCATTCACCAATTGTAATTATATTTCGCCGTTCACTAGTCTAGACTGCTCGTGCATAACAATTAGCCACAAATTTAATGCTAGCTGACGGCCATCAATCATGATGATGATGCCATCGATTAATCTACGTGCGGAATCACAGTGCGAGTCTGTTCAATTTTTCGCCGTTGCTCTCACTTTGCCATATCCATCAATCAAGGGGATGAATTCAATTTTTCCCAAGTAATTTCACCTGAAATCGCTGCCGCTGCAATTTTGCCATATATAGTAAAATATTTGATTTCCTTCACGGCGCTTTTCTGAATTTTCTCCATCACTTTTGATACCTTTCGCCACCTTTTGTACTTGAACTGAATTCACGAAGAGTGACAGAAATAATTTTCTCTCCTTAAATGCGTTGTTCTATTTTCACATCACCACCCACTCATAGGAAACGCCCACGATCAGGGTGATTATTTACCCATTTTCACCATTGATAAAAGTTCAAACGCCACAGCACGAAGATGTGAAATTATTTACCATCATTATTGCAATTTGATGTGAGTGACTGCAATTGGAGGAAAATAAATTACATCTCTCTCTCTCTCCAATCTCATGAAATCATTCCACGTAATTGGCTTAATGGATCGTAATTTATTAATAATAAAAAGAAGGCAATATTGATGGAATTCAATGCTGTTCTGTGAGAATATTTCATTATTCGCCATTTCTAATCAATTTAAAACAATACAATTTGTGTGTCTGTGCAACTCTTTGCACGCTGCTTCTTGTTCATCGCATCATTTCCGCCGCGGAAAAGCGGAAAGTCTTCTGAAATTGTGTCGTCTTGTGGAAAATATGTATGTCTTGCTCAGCGGAAATTGCTCTTGGAAATTTCACAGTTTATTTATAACATTGAGAAGGCGGAGCAGCATCAAAAATTCAGGATAAGACATATTCATGAATTGAGCTAATTTTGTTTGTTGACATACATAGATACATAGTAATGTGTTACTTATATTTCAATAAGAATGTTGAAACGAAATGTAATGAGAAAATATGATTTACAAGGTTTGTGGGATAAAAGCTATCGCAGTCCTGAAATATTTTCCCTACAAAATCTGCCTGACTGGAGGTTCTCTCCTGAAAGCTCCCGTGAAAGCTCTGCGCTCCGAAAGTTTCCTGAAATTTTAACCACTTGAGCACACCTCTCGCGTGCGATGGAATTCGTGGAGGGAAATTAATGGAATACCCCAGAGTTGCAGACACTACACCGACTCTCGTGCCAAATCATCCTTCCCCTAATGCTCGTCCGCGGGGCGCTCATGCGCTCACACGCTCGTGATGTTCCGTGTGCCATCGTTGAGGGGGAGCTTTTGCACGAGTTGTCTCTCTGTGCCTGAGCTTTTGGGCTGCAAATCCGTCCATCACCCGTGCAGAAGCTATCGTGAGCCCATCTGGGAAAAGTGTCGCTCCTGTCAGCTGAGATTTCGGTGCCCAAGCCCAGTCGCTCCGCTCACGACGCCCCGCGGGCCGTGGAGTGTGTCTGTCACGCAGGGTGTGAGTGGTGTGAAGCTGCCGAGCAACAAGTTTGGCGTGATGCAGTGAGAGCTAAAGGGGTATCGCAGATGCACCAGCTGATTCACGAGGCTGCAGTTGGGCAGATCCGCCGGGCTGAGCTTGAGTAGTCAGTCGCCGTCTGCCAGCCGAGAAGCGCGCTCTGACTTCGCCTCGCATCTCAGTGCTAATTGGTTGTGTGAGAGAGACTTTCACCAATTCCAAGTGTCCTGCGAAAGGGATTAAAAAGTGAAAACGAATGACATAAGCGCCAGCGTATATCGCACAATTTTTCCCCATCGCGCCCACCCCCATTCCTCACGTAATCCGTCGAGAGTGATATATTTTTATTGCCTTCGAGGGGGAGGTGCGATATATAGTGTCTCTTCTATGTGATTTGCCGTCGAGCTTTTCTCCTCTTAGCACCATGTACACGGCATGGCGAGTGTGTGTGAAGCATTCTGTTAATCATCTGTGAGCTTTTACATAAGGGGGAGCGTCTCCCTCCCAGCACTGATATCACTCAGCGTGCAACACAGTGTGATATACAAGCAAGTGAAACATTTAAATAAGGGGTGAGATAATTCTTGCATTTTTAATAAACAAACCCCTCTGTATTACCTGTGTGACCTGCTGCACGGGCACAGCTCACACATTTCACCCTAATAGTTCTTAAGACACACTCCGAGCCGCACTGTGCAAGCTTACTAATTCAGCGCCAATATAGATGGCATTTTAATAACATATCACTGCGCGCGGTGACAGATTAACCATAATTAACTAAAATACACACGCTGAATTTGTCGCATGTAATTTATTTGCTCAGCATTATTAAGATATTCAATTGCAAACTGTGTGATTTATTGTGTTTGCACAAATGAAATTTAACACCCCAGGATGTGTTTGTACACCAAATTCCGTCCTCGGCATCCACACCAAAAAGTCTCCCCTCACGCAATCCAACGCTAACATGCAATTAGTGCGAAAAATGCCAAATCTTGTGCAAAGTAATTAAATTTTCAGTATAAAATTGAGAAAGTTATTAAAATAAATTGGAGCAACATTTAATCAACTCGCCTTTCTCAATGACTTCCTTATTCCCCATACCATTACATAATGTACAAACTTTCAGGGTGAAGAAAAAAGTCTAATAATTATGTAAAATGAGCTTGAAGTAAATAGAGTTAAAATATATGGGCTTCTCGTCCAGGTACATTCCAGAAAGTTAAATATTTGACTCATACATTTTCATTAGCCGTCGTACAACAACCGAAACGCGCCTCACATGGTAACCAAAAGTCATTTTGTAGCATTATGAGAATTTGCTGGGGATATTACTATAATTGCACTGCTTAATGGCTCTCCATTGGTCTGCACGTATGACCTACATTCTGAGTGCGTTGAGGGAAAAATCGTGTCCGTGGCTAGAAGATCAGATTTAGCACGTCAAATTTTGAGTGCTTCTTTTAATTATGTCGTGAAAATATCCCTTAAAAAGCCTCTAAAGATTTGATAGTGAAACAACACTAAATTTAGAATTAAACGATGGGTTTTTGGATGAGTTTAATAAACAGAATTGTCCTCTGTTTCACACTCGCGTCAATTAATTGCTCTCTAACTTCGATTTATGGGCACAAAGTTTTGGAAATGAAACTACAAACGTTTCAAATGGGATTAAGCTTCATGAATAAAGCAAAGCATTAATATAATTTATTAAAAGCATTTGAGTTTATAATTAAATTTCTAGAACACAACACTCACAATAGCATGAAATACTTGAATGAACCTCTTCTGATGAAATTCTTGTTTGATTTTCTGGATATTCCAAGTGAAACGGTTGCTTTGAATATGATATCGCAGCTCCGTTTCTCATATTTATACTTGAAATTAAATACGAAAGTGTGGTTTTTCAAACACTTGCAACACCGTGAGTCTGGTCGCCGCTAATTAATAGTCTCCAGTTTATATGTCAGTTGGGCAGTGGAAATGTACAAGCTGCTGTGCGGAGTGAAATTCCTGAAAATACTTCTCTGAAAATTGCATGAACATACATATCATGGATATACGTCTGAATGTGGAAGGCGCACCACAATTTCATGAGCTTTTGCAAAACTCGCACCCAAAAGCCACTGTCAGAGCTCGCAGAGACATGAAGTATTAAAATTGAATAACAAAATTTTACAAAACTAGGTCGATTGGTAAGAAATGAAGCGAGGGAAGCGCTTTGCATGATTTTCGAGTGTTGGCGGATGAAATTGTGGAAAAGTTCATGTGCGGGTTTTGGGGTAGTTGCGCGAAAAACAGTTTCACCCGTGCAATTGCTGCCCTTCTCACTTGCTAGTGTGGCTCCATAATTCCACTGATGAAAGAACCGTGTAAATTTGATGGCTATATAGATATGTGGAAATCCATTTTGACAGTGGCCTCTAATTGGTCGGGGAAGAATTCACGGTTGAAAAACTAATTTGGTGGTTCGCTGATGGAGTGCTCTTTGGCAAGTGGTGTGAGCGTTATTTGGGCGATTGCCATCAGGGCAATTCGAATCGATAATCTCGACATTTATTAAAAGGATTGAAAGGCTTGTTTCAGCGAGGGTCGATTTCAGCGGATCCTCATGCAACCTTTCCGACGATAATTCAGCACGCCGGAAGACAGTGAATGCAAATAGGCTGACTTTTACTCAACAACACCGGATGGGTTCCAAGGCTCGCACCCGAAGGCCCCGAATCGATTTGCCAGATGAAGGAATTTCAACCTCAATCCGCCTAAAATGTCTATTTCGTAAATATTTCAGTGGGATCCCATCCTTGACGGCATTCCGCACACAACACCATTCTCAATACCCTTATTGGTGAAGAATTTATTTAAACTCGCACCGAACTAGTCAATATTCAAAGTTTTTTCCTCTCTGTCGTGCGAGGCACACCCAAAGAGAAGATTGATTGTGATGAGAAGTTGAGGGAAGATTGCCAATCGATTTCCTCTTCAGCATTATCTGTTTTCTTTGGGGCGATAAAAAATGTATAAACATCTTTTTCTCGGTCATGATTGGGGCTGACACTCGACAGACGAGCATCTCTCTCTCTCTCTCGTTCTCTCTGGGTCACCCACCAATTGAAGATCAACCACGCGCCGTCCCAACACACGACGCTTATCAAATTGTCTCTCTCGTGGAACTCGACTATCTCGGCTGGTCCCCGTCTCCAAGCCACCCTCTATCAGCCGGAGTGGTTTATGAATTGCGAAGGCTCCGGAGCTCGAGGGAAATATCTGATAGCACTCGCATATAGCATATCTCGATTCCTCCCTTTTAAAGTCCGTCTCCTGACTTCAGTCCCGAGCATTCTTCTTCTGTGCCTTTAATTATAATAATATTTGACGTAATATGATTCCTCTTCAGGACGTCTTTCTCATTAGAAGCAAATATTATGAAAAATGATTCTTTCCATTCAAAATGATGAGAGATTTTGCGAGAAACTGTGTGCAAAAATAGCACATTTCTTCACGGAATTCAAGTTGAAAAACACTCACGAATAATAAAAACACACACACACATTCGAATAAAAAAACATTTGAAATGTATACAAAATCAATATTTATTTCACATCTTCTATAAAGTCTTTTAACAATTAATTGAAATGTTAAGAGAAAATTGAAACGAATTGCTCATAATTATGCTTTGTGGCTCACTTTTATTTCTTTGGTCTGGACTTTGATTGAGAATCTTCTCAAGATTTATTTATCTGCACAATAAAAGCTTAACTTCAGGAAGAAGGAATAAATATTTTATCTCTATACTTTTACAACTCTTTTTCTGCATGCGTGACTTTCTGTATTATGCATTTCATTGTTGGATTCCATTGTCAAAGACAAATAGAGAGTTTCCACATTCACCATAATTGAAGACGTGAATAGAATTTCGATGCAAGTGACATAGATTTTTCATTGTAACCTATTCAACACTGGGCAAATGCGAGAAGGTTTCGAAGATGAGCCTGAAAATGTAACGACAAAATCGTGTGTATCTCTTTGTCTTAAATTATACGAGAATTGCATCGTTTATTCATGCTGCACAAAAGCTCTTGCTTCTATAGAAATCTTTAGCATGTTATGCGAAAACCCGTAACGATGCCTCACGACAAAGTCAAAGGTATATTGAAGTAGTTCCATGAAAGGGGCCGTTGTGTGCGCGCTGGTGGAATTTCGCAAAGAATGTCACATAACACCCTTTCATACTCGTTATAAAAATGTCATATATTGTAATTGCGAGTGGAGCTCGATGTTTCATGCGCCCTGAAAATGCTTCAACAAGGCTCAGCGTGGCAATACAGTTGGTGGAAAATCGCATTCATGCGTGTCCAGAATGGTATAGAGTTTAAATGGGCGTCTGAGTTGAGAATGGGACGGAAACTCCCACTCGAAATGTTCTGCAAACCTTGCAAAGAATTGTGTGACTGAGCTTCGTGTCCCGAATAGTTTACAGCGTTGTGTGATTGTATCCAAGTTTCGGCTGAACTATAAAGAACTATTTTGGCCAATGGCTAGTTGAATACAATTTTGTCCTCATTCGAAAGTCCAGTTTGTAAAATACGAAGGATAAGTTGCACATAAAAGCCACAAAGTGAGCTAGAAAAACACAAAATTTGTTGTAATTTAGGGAAATTGTAGTGCAGGAAGAGATTTGTTCTAGCATGAGGGTCAAATGCGAGACAAAACCTTTCATTGCAACCACTCAAACACTCAATTGGCCATTGAATTTGCGTCAAATAGAGCAAGACGAAAGCTCTCTATTAGCACACTAGAATTCCATGATCAATTATCCTACCATATCGATTTCAATGGCAAAAAGGGCTCCATTAAGTCAACCGAGCAGAAATGCAAATGCATTGCTTGCAAGTGGGGAAACAGCTCCTAATTGTCAAAGTTTCTGCATTGCTAATAGACTGAAATTGGAGGACGTGTCGCAGAACTTTTCCTGCAGAAGCAGCCAATTAATCCACTTTTCACGGCTCAGCTGATAAGAATGTACATTTCCATGTCCCATTTCTCGTGGAAGGAATATCGATTGTGATACGATAAGGATATTAAGGCTGAACGGAGTTAATCTTTATGTAATCTCGTGATATTTGAATCGAAATTCTCGCTTCTCAGAACAGAAAATTCCTCCCAAGGATGCTGATAATGCTTTAAATTGAAGTCTTGTAGAAATGTGATTTGCATTTGGAATACGAATTGAATGCAATTACATGAAGTTTTAATGCATTTTCAGAGACTCCGATTATTTTTACGCGATTACAGAATTAATTTATGTTTATTCCTAATGCGATAGTAAATTCGTAATCAATTTATTGCATACAGAAATTCCAAATCCAACAATGCTGTGAAGAGTGGGCAGTTTTATTTCTGAATTTTCCTTCCTTTCCTGATCAAATTATATACACACATATGACGTATTCTATATAGCATAAAGCTTAGAGATTTATTGGCGATTTCCACAATCTGAGGCCTATATTTACCCTAAATCTTTTGTACAATGAAGCAGTTATGTGCCAGTAAAATGTATAAAAAAAAAACCTCGATAAATGGCGAGAGAGTTGAGTGAAATATGTTTTCCTTTAAATAGATAAACACTCAATCCTTGGGGCTATAATTCAAGTATCCTCCGGAGAGTGAAGCACAACTTAGCACGACGTGTTGGAGTAAAAGTGGAGGAAATTGATTTTTTTTGCGTCATATCAGATGAACGGAAAACCCGAGGCGAGACACTGTAAATAGAAAATAAACACAATGAGAAGAAGAGAATGACTTTTCTCGACCATGAACGGGCTTTTCTCATCAAGCAATGGCACATTTTGCAATATCGAAATTGAGACAAACTCATAGTATAAAATGATAAATCGTAAGAGTGCGCGAATGGAGAGAAGAGAGAATAAGAAAGGGAAGATAATTCAATTTCAGCCAATCCTCTTTTCTAACAAAAACAACCATGGCTCTATATTGCAGAGAGAACTTTTCTTGGCCAGAGTTGAACCCGGATCACCTCGAGGCGAGCGAAAATTGTCCGTTTCGAGTTCTTCTTCTATGAAGACAAAGTGGCTGAAGGCATTCAGGAGTCTGAAACCCGCTTCCGGATCAGCAGTAAACGAAAAGTGAGTATCTCTTGTTTGTCCATTCGACTCTCCTCAACCCCAGAACTTTAATGCTTTTCGTCGAAATGGCGCTTCGCGGCCTCACTTGCATAAGAAGAAGTTTCGTGTGGAGTATTTTTAGTAAGTGGGCCTAAGGGAAGAACATTCTATATAATGTTTTTGTCAAGGGAGCATTGCATTCACTTTTGAGCAGAATAGCTAGAATGCCTTCACGGGAATTGATCCCAAAAATGTCTCTGTCCGTGTCCTTACAGCGCATATAAGCACGGTTAGACGGGCATTTTTCTGCCCAATTTTCCTCTTCTTCAGCGCGTTTCTCAGAAAAGAGGCCAAGAAGAAAAGGGAGGGTGAATCAATTTTTGCTTTCTGGAAAATAGCTGAAAGTATCCGATAAAAGTGTCGTTATTTCGTGTTCAATTTAGATGAATTTTGTGTGCCTTTATCCGCAGCATGACTTCTTATTTTCCGTCATAATAACAAATTAATAGATTAGAAAGTCACTCAACTAATTGAATTAAACTAAATTCTGTTTTTCATCACCATCTAACACACATATCTAGATCGAATCAAATGTATCACGCAGTGTCAACAGTTTTGACGATGAGGTAAAATTTGATCAAACCAAGACGAATTATTACAGTGAACATGATTGATGTATTAGATCATATATTGTGTATCTTGTCTATCTTAGTATCTATCCTGTGTAAACCTCCATCAATGCATTGGTTCATCGTTTTCCCGAACGTACATTTAATTTGACGATGTATTGAACATTGCTTTGACAACATCTGGACTTTTCCTCATTTTCCCCACTCCTCGTAGTTTCCTCGTCATCTCTTTACTATGCATCTTTCACAAGAATTTTGCTCATGAATCATGCACGACAAAACTATTCAGTGGAAAATCCGGGATGTTTCTTCTTCTATTGTTATATATTCATTGAATTATATACATTTGTATGCACTGTAATCAATTGATTGTATTAGAATTTAATACCACAAACCACACATCTAACCATTATATATCTTTCTCATATCATTCGTGTTGTGTATAATTTGTATTCCATCCCAAAAGTTGCTTAATTACTTTTCAACGTGATTAAACTTGTATGTCTGTCTCGTCCTGAAAATTTTCCTTGCATAAATTACCATCTTCTGTAGGACAGTGCATATGAAATTAGACTATTAAATTGTATTTTGTGTCAAATGACAGCATTCGCAGATGTTCCATTTTGTAATTTCAAGAACTCTCACGTATTTTCCCTCGCGGAAAACTTCTTTTGTCTCTTTCCATGTGCACAAATGCAGGAAGAATGGAGCGGCGGCGGCGCCAGAGAGGATCCGCGTCGGGGATGGAGACACCCACAATTTGCAAGAGTACACCTATAAGAAGATAACACCGTGCGATGTTTGTTCTCAAGTACTCAGAGGTGAGCAGAAACCATAGTAAGACGAATCCGCAGCTAATTTAGCGTGGGTTGCAACTCTGTGATTCTTAGCCGAGCTCTAACACACGGCATTACATGTGTTTTAAAAACAGTAACCAAAGTAAGCCTCAAGTCTCTGGTAATCTCTGGCTTAGACTGCTTCCGGCTCTTTCTGGGATATATTTAGGCCAAAATATTCACTTAGAAAACCTTCTCAGAATCTTCCACTCAATGATTTTACAACAAATTTCCTAACATTGTTCAGTAAAAATAATAAAGAATGTTGATTTTCCTTGATGGATATGGAAATTGATCATATCGACATTAACCTTACTTAATAACACAATAAATTTCTTCAGCCTAGTTGCAACCGCACCCTTAATTTGCGATTAATTATTTGTGATCACACATAAATTTCACAACATAGAAGCTTCAATTGTAAATTGGATGATAAACTATTCACAGGGCGTTTCAAATTATTAATGATGCCGCTGATCTGTTAACCAGGAATATAATTAGGATTGAAGATTGAGTGTAGAATCATAATAAGATATTGAAATGGATAGATTGTCTTCGGGCATTTCAATGCATTCTGACTGAGTTTTAATCAATAACGTCTGTCTCAGGACACACTCGCCAGGGACTTCGGTGTCGGATCTGCAAGATGAATGCTCACGCGGATTGTGCGTCGCAGCTTCCCAAATGCCAAGTCAAGCAGAAACTACTGAGACGACAGAAGAGCACCTCAGAGATTGAGAACAGGGTTGAAGTGGAGGAAGAAAGTGAGTATTCCCGCATGGTTTTCTCTCCTTATGTTTACCATTCACGTTCGGTTCTTGATTTCCGAGAGCTTTGCCTCCCCACAACTCCCCAAAATCAGAGCCTCCCGTATTTGATCGATGATGGGTGGGTTTGAGAGAGGAGGAAAATATACGATTTCCAATGTCTTTTGCGGTGTAACAGTAAAAATCGAGATTTTATTTTCATATCTCTATTAAATTTCCTCTTTGAAGGGGAAGGACCAAGTCTCCTCTCGCGGCAATTGTCAACGAGACGAGAATCCTATGATTTAGGTACCCAGGCAAAGATTTGGCATGCAAAATAATGATGATGCTTTTTGCGGCGATAAATAACCGAGAACAAAATGCTTTCATAGTTGAAATTATTGTTTTGCCTTGCAATATTGTGGCTCGATCGAAACGTATACATGCCTTATATTCGGCTGAAGCGATTCGAGCGACTAACAAGAGTGTGTTTTTAATAACTAATGAGTTGCTGTAAATTTGGCAAGCATATTATGCAATCGTCTGGGCATCGGTTGATGATTACAGTCGCTGGGCACCTTGAGTGATGAATAATGCGCACTTTTCTGTTCATATCTCATCTGTAGAGCCCAATGAGATAGACCAAATCTATCAGGTATTGAAACAGGCGGGGGAGATCTCGAACAAGGGCAGCGAGAAAACGGGCAATGGCGGAGCCGCAGCGCCGCCGGACATTGTTATCAAGGCGCCCGAGTGTCCAGAGCGCTCAGCACTGCGACGCGCGCCGCCCAAGCCAGCGCCCCCGACCGGAGCGCCGCAGCAGCGCCAGGGCCTCGTGGCCCCACTGGCCGATGTCTCGAGCTCAGGTCCATTTGCACCTCCACAACTCTTTAGCGTCCACTGGCGTTTGCTCTCGATCTGCGATCTTTCAGTGACAGCATCTCGAATGTCCTTTTTGCCTCTACATCTTCTTCCGAATTTTTTGAGACAGAAACAAATTGCGCTTCGTAGTCGCTTACAAAATCACTTTATAGACTCTTTGCAGCATTTTTCTCCGTTGATATCCGTCAATTCAAATGATCACACTATTAGTGATTCTGTAGTGTCTTTTCATTTTATCCGTTATCATTCCTCTTTAGTGTCTCTCTACATGTTTCTTTCTCACTATCACCTTCTAGATATTGCTCTCAGCCTCAGTCTTGACCTGTCTAGATGACATTTTTCGTCTATGTCACTGGTGCAGATGATCGGACAATCACATTTTTCTGTTCATTTCGAACTCCCAACACACTTTGTATCCGCACACAGAGTATTTTTCTTTTTAATTCCGCAACATTTTCCCTCATTTTCCCTCACTCAATCACACTGGATTGGCTTGAGTTTCCTTAGTCTCTTTATTTTTCTTTCTTCTGTTGTGCCTTAAGAGAAAATGGAGTGGTTCGGAACACTTTGCAGAAAAATGCGAAGCAACTTGATGAATGAGCTTATCGCGCGTAAGATTATGATCTCTTCGAATGTTTCGCAACAAGTTTTTATGCAGTTGTTTTTTTAAATTGAAAAGGTGTTGCAATCACAAATAACTGAAGCTTTGAGATTGTATGTAAAAGCTCAAGAAAAAAAAGGTTTGTTTTAGGACACACCAGAAGATTGAGTATCGTTTTGAAATTTTCAATAGGATTTTAAAGAAATAGTATTGAAGCATGCAATGTAGAAAGACAAAGTTTAGACAGCGCCTTAAGTTTTTCTTAGCTCATTAGTGAGTTTCTAGAAGTCCTTCAAATTTTCTTTGGGGATTCAACCTATCTAGGCTAAATCTTTCTCAAGTTCCGCGACTGATTTCACAAGCTCAGAAGCAAATTTGATATGTATTATTGAGTTTAATCGCCTCACTTGTGATTTTCTCTGAGTAAAGAAACTGGTAATAAATTTTATGCAGGAGAATTTATAGCAATTTCACTGCTAATGGTCATTGAACTGGTATAAAATGTTGCAATTAATTTAAATTTGGACTTGAATCTGCTTGATATATATATCTTGAAATCCACTGCATTGGGCCTTTAACAAAGTTGATGCAGAAGAAAGTAGGTTACTTTTGAATGCAACAACCTCAATTTCCTGGTTGAAACTTGCCAAGTGAATTTCGGCCAAAGGCGTCACACACTTAAAGCATCAGGAGACACACACACACACACACACCACAAGTACGAAACATTCAACAGAAGTCATTAGTTTTATTCCTTGTGTTGCTGTTTCCACACACAGATTGCCGTATTCCGGTCCCAATGGTTGCAAATAGCACCACACCGCCGGGAGCTTTTGACACCGGAACAAGGAGACGCCTGTTTGCAGGTTTCCGCCCACTCTCAGGTTTTGGTCGTGGACGCTTACGGTCTGCTCAGCATCGGTCTATATCGCTTCCTGAAAGTAATTTGCAATGTATCATCATCATGGGCGTCTCATTCCGTTCTTTACCTTATCTTTCATTTCTGCGTCTTTTTAATCACACCACTTTGAACTCTGTCCACCACACACAATTGATGACATTTCTTTTTGCCACCAAATTATTGTATAATTACTCCCCGAAGTTTGCTCCTCAAATGTCCGTAGAGAATATTTTTACATCTATGTGTGTGTTTTTCTTCTCAACAATATTATTAATTTTATACTATTTATTACTCCCATACAAAACACTGGAAATTTCCTTTGATGTGATTCTTTAAGAGTTTCGTCCGTCTTCTCTCCACTTTCGGTTTCTGCCAAAGTTTACATATCGATTTTTCCTCTATTTCTTTCGTACTAGTAAAATTACATTGCCAGGAGAGAAGATTTCATGTGACTTTGTTTTTCAGTGTAATCGATGCACAATTCAACCGAGGACTTTATTTAATTTCCGCTTCTTTTGAGGTTTCAAATTAATTTTCTTTTCAGACTAACCTCCGTTCTGTTTGGTTTTCTTACATAATGTCGTGCTTGAGTGTGTTCTATTTTTTTTTTATGTTTGTTTACCTCATAAGGACTGTCGTTCTTTTTGGTCAATACGTGAAAATGTAACACATTTCTTTTCTTCTTTTTTCTCTCCCCTCCTCCATATTAATTCCAGAATCAGGTACGGAGGGAACGAGACCGTTTGGTCAGCCCCTTTGCTTGGTAGCTGAAGAGGTTGAAGATATTCCGCCTCCCAAGAGAGGAGCTAGAAAGAAAGTCAAATAAGACATTGTGTGTATTTTGTTGAATTTCTTTTCTTTTGTGTAATGATACATCGCAATTCGTTTAGAATGATAAATTTTGAGAGAGAGAAAAAAAAACATTAAAACAAAACACGCTGGAAGGAAGTAGATTCTGAAAAATTGTTGCCGTAATACAGTTTCTTATGTTTTTTTTCTTTGTTTTTCCTTGCCAAACACATAAAGTTGCAAATTGACGCCAAGTTCTGTTCAATTTTATTATTAGAAATTATACCTGCAATACTTATCACACTATAAATAGTTTATTGTTTCAAAACATTTTCATATAATCGTGGATTTTTTCTCACTTTAGTTCAATTTATAATGTGAATTTATTAATAGGCACCAATTGAAAATCACGATTATTTATATATACTGAAATTACTGTAGATAAAAATGGATAAAAAAAAATTCTTTGAAATAAGTCCGAACCATGCCATTATGTTGAATTTATGTTAATTGAGAAATTTGGGCAAAACTATAAAGAGAGAATCGGTGAAAAGTCGTTCAATACTCATTATAATTTTCAGTTCAATTTTCACTTAAAATGTTTATGGTTTATATGTAGGGAAATAATTGTATATAAAGATGGAGGATATTTTCGAGAGAAAAAGTCCAAGCCATGCCAAAATGTTGGGCAAAACTCCAGAAAGCGCTCTCGGAGCATAAATAACTCTTAATTAGTGAGAGAGAGAAGATCTAGAAAATTTGCACGTGAAAGCTAGCCAAGTCGTAATTGAATCTTCACCGATAAATTTCTGGTTTATTCTGTTATCTATTTCTAATGGAAATTTAATTCTTTATTAATTTATCTTTTGAAACACCCGCCCAGAATCTGTGATAACACATAAAGATTGATTATTTTAGAGCGAGAATGAGAGAGGGAGGAAAATTGTAATGAGCGTAAAAATACATTTTATTTCTTCGTTACAAGTCATTTTCTCTTCTTTTTTTCTACACTTAATTCACTCGATCTTCATTTTCAACTGTTTTATTTCGCACTTCTGACTCTGTCTTTTGTGAGTCGGGAGTTAATATTTAATTATCCACGGAAAAAATAGCAAACAGAACACTGTCTCCCTCAATGTGATTGTGTCGACATGTGGAATGTTATAAATAGAGCTGAATGGTAGAGACAAAGTGTCTGCACTCGTGAGCTTTTGATGTGAATGTCGTGACGTAAGTATTTGGTTGCCCGTTGAGCTTTTCTCGCATCTCTGTCTCCGAATGGCAAGGTCTGTCTGTGTCATCCACTGAGATTGCTAAATCACATTTTGTGCTTAAATTCTGCAATTTGTCCCTCACGCTCAGCGAAAATGTAGAGAGCTTTTTTTCCCTTTCTCTCCGTCAAATTCGAAACATTTTTACAGCGCGCAGTGCTAAAAATACGAGCTTTTATGGAGGAATTTAATATTATCTGACTTTCAGAAGGGAATGTTGCCATATAATATCGTCTCGATTCTCCTGTGTTTTCAATATGTGTGGAGCAGCAAAATGTCAAGCGAAAAGCTATTTTGGCACTTAACCCACTTTCCAGTGGTCTAATCAGTCCGTGTTAGATTACCTGCTGCTGGAACATCCCTTAACAGCTCCAGTTCACATCATTAGAACAAGGATCCGCATAATGTCACAGAGAGTTGGTAAATGAATTCTGCATTCAAACTGGCACACAGAGTCTCGAAGACGTGAGAGAAAGGGAGACCAAATGTCACTGAGAGAGATGCTTCTTGAATGCTTACTTCTTGCTCTGCAATGTTGCAAATATTCAATTTATCAATGTCTATAGTACATAGTTTTTGTTGTGTTACTCTGATATTGAATTATGGACGTTATTCCGGAACTATAACTGTCTTTTTCCTCTCTTCCAATTCGTGTGTGCCACTTTTTCTTGCAATACAAGCAGCCCCTCATTCGCCGCGACGCCAGAAATTGAATTTGCGAATGAAGTCGCTGAGCTTGGACTCGCCAGAGTCCTCCGAACTCCATGGCCAGATGAGACGACGAGGTGGTCACGCGGGACCGTCGAGCTCAAACTATCACGGAGGATCAGGAGGCGCCTTGGAGCACAGCACGCCCCCGTCGAACAACAGTCGCCTGCACTGTGAGTATATTAATACTTTTTGCATTGAAAGCTGTGCTTTATTGATAATGTCGGCAGAGTTTAACACTGTACAGTGGCTCAAACTCTGACTACACCTTCATGGGTAGTGTCAAGTGTGTTTAGCTTTTCCCCGAAAGCCACAGGATAACTGTCCTCACGAGAGACATTGCAGTGACTGCAAACATGTTTGATCTAAAATACCTTAAACCCAAATAGAGGAGTTCATGTGCACTCCTAATCATCTCATGTCATAATGCATGAAAAGTCTCTGAATGAATTTGGATTATGACGAATAAAATACTCTGACAATCTCATTTCTATTCTTGCGAAGATTCTTGTGTATGGAAAACAATTTACCCATATTGTAGACGAAGAAAGTTTTCCTTATTCTCTTGTAATCAGAAAATTACCATGACATAAAGACTTCACCAAGAGGATATTAAACCGATTTCTAATTATTTAATTGGAATGAATTTTAGAAAATCAATATCTTCACTGTCACTTCAGCTCCATCGAGTCCATCGCAGCAGCAGCGAAAGCTTCTGTACGCCAACCGAGGACTCCGCACAGGATCAGTGGACTTGCCAGACGACGTGGAGAAGAGCCTGTCGTCGGCCAGCACCTCACCTTGTCCATCTCCCGTAAGGCAGAATCAGGTGGCGCATGCTTTCATTGATTTTATTTCGCGCATTGGATTCTTTCGCCTGAAGACTCACGTCAAGTGTGAATTTTTCACGATGCCGTCAAAGTGAAATTGCCATAATCCATTTTAACTTGATGCGAACCGAATCCCGATGGCTAATTATTAATGGTCAGTCGCACTGCAATGGAGAAAGCCGATCAATTATTTTCCGAACATCCAATTCAATTAATATTTAATATCATTTCCACGAATGCCTGGAAGCTCAGTATGATGGAAACATTTGATGGTACATCTTTGTACCATGTCTTATCCTTCAATTGATCTGTGCTACATCTTTATTCAGTGCACTTCAGTGTGCAAACACAGGCGAGTGCATTATCCTGTTGGAATTCCCGAGGGCGGATGTTTTCCTGGACGTTCTATATTGTGACATTATTTGAATATTTAGAGAGCTCGGGATGTATTTCGTTGGGATTTATTTGTTGGTAGTAACACGGCTTCCTGGAAAGCTCTTGATTGCATTTGCGAATGAAATATTTGCACTTATTTTTCAACTCTCAGCATCACACAAGCCACTCAGAATTTGCAAAAAAAAAATGTCAGGTGCACGGCTGTGATTGAGTGATGTCTGCAAAAAAGCACTAAATAAACTAAATATGAGTAGGAATGTACATTAAGCTCAGAGCAGAAATAATATTTGGCCTCGAGGGCATTGAGGCGACATTTCAGGAGCAAACAGAAAATTATAAACTGCATTCATGCTTACTTTGTCGCTTCTTAATAACATTTGCATTGCTTTTCTTTCTACATTCAATCAAAATTTATGTGATATTCTCGCAACTTGAAACATAAAGATTCATGAAAAAAGTCTTTAGAAAATCAGCATTAGCGATTATACATATAATGGTGTGTATTGTATACTTTTGGCCGAACAGAAACCTCATCGTTTGCTGCCGACGAACCTCTATGTTGTGCTGTACAACTTCAAAGCGCGCCATCAGGATGAACTCGACCTCAAAGCTGGCTACAAGGTGAGCCTCATTCACACTCTCCCAACCAGCAGGAGTGTGGATATGATAGACGGGTGGAAAAAGCCCGCAGGGAAATAAGAAAATTAAAAGGCAATCTATCGTACATTTTGACGATGCATATTTCGCACTTCACACACGAATATTCAGCCTTTCGTGACAACGCTGCCAGCAAAATGATTTGTATCATGCGAGAACTATTGCAGTGTGGATATTTCAGGTGGAAAAATATCGAGTGACCCAATTATTGGGATTGATTTGGAGAGCTTGATAGATAAACACGATCTCTGGCCCGTGGCTGGGATCAATTACGCTTGTTACACTTTGCAACTGAGTGTGTTGGGTGGAAAGCGTTCCCAAATGTGACAATTAGGTGTGTTCCGCATTTGCAGGTGACGGTAATTGACACGTCAGACACCGACTGGTGGAAGGGAAAATGCCTGGGGCGCGTTGGATACTTCCCATCAAAGTACTGCACAAGACTGGCTGCTGGCGAGAAGCCTCTGCAGGTCACCCACAATCTACAAGTCAGTGACGGCGAGCGTGGCGACAGCGGAATGACTTTGCTGCGAGACCAGATAGTTATTCAGGTATTGCCGTTCCTTTTCCACTTAGATTTTCCCTTTGGAGATACATAATGTGCTTGTATATAAAATAGAGCACGAAACATTGAAATAATCCCAGGACATTTGTTAAGTAAATTGAAAATATATATATAAATTTAAATAAACGAATAAATTGACTCACATTGAAAGTGCTGTACCAAAATACTCCGAATAAACTTTATGGCTTCTTGTGTTTCACATTTAAACTTTGGGAAGAACGAATGGCAATCATTTTCCCATTTATAATTCCACTACTCTATCGAAGGATATATTGTGTATTCTATTAACATTCAGAGCTATTGAATTATTAGCGATTCATTCTCCCAAATGAAGGTAAGACCTTCAAGTAAGACCCGTAAATTAGTAATAAGATCTCAGTGTTTTCTCGTGAGCACAAGTCGCTACATTAGCTCCACTTTCAAAATATTTGACTTTAGCACTCTGAGACAGGATTCTACACAATGAAGCTACATTCTGTCAATTAAATTTGAATATAATTCAAGAGAATTTAAACTATCACCTTTCTCAAATGTCTATATGATTGTAACAATGATAAATGAAGACTGCCAACAAATCTCGTGGAGCAAAACGATTTCTCTCTCTCGGATGTCATTATACTTTCTGCGTTCCGTGAAAGCTCACACATCAATCTCGCGCTTTTTTCCCCATCCTGAGGGTGAAAAAAAAAGTGAATGGCACACGGAGAAAATTTCCATTGGAGACACGATAAAAAAAGTCGTTTCTCGGATGAATTTTTCATCTGCAATTGCCTTCAATGATCTCTCCTTATTTTCTTTAAGGTCAATTTCGCTCCATTCCTCAGTGGGTGAACTTTAATTTTTCATCGTAGGATTAGTGAGCTTAAAATGCAAAGAATTTCCATTATTCCACTCTCTTTCTATGCTTATTCTTCGGTGCCATTATTTATGTGGTGAAATGGAGGGAATTCAAGTCACTCAGTATAATGATATGGGGCATTTTGAATATGTCTCAGACTGAATGTCAGTGGGTTTTCATGCTCCCCTCGTTTGCAGGTCGGCGAGGAAGTGGGCGGCATGGTCATGGTGCGCTCAGCCGAGAATCGCCAGGGTGTGTGTCCGGTGAAGTATCTGCAGGAAGTGTGACAGCCAGAGCCTGTGAAGCCGGATCGGGACAAAAATGGCAACGAAAAGTGCGACACGGGACGCAAGAGGGACAAAAATGCAAATTATGAGCGTCACAAGCACACGGAGAGTCGGCGGAAGTGTGCCAATTGTCGTATGGAGCGCGATCGTGAGAAGTGGGAGAGATTCCGGGAGAGCAAATTGGAGGCGATGCGTCTGCACAAGTACAACGTGGAGCGACGGATGCGCTATGACTGCAACACGGACAAGCGCTACTGGAGTCAGCGGCAGGACAAGCTCAAGCGGTATCCCAAGCAAGAGGCTCTCGATCCATCCTGGTACACAGACAATATCTACTCCAATCAGAGCGTGGACGAGGAGGATGATTTCAGGGAGTTCAGAGGCGGCAGGCGGATGAGACGCGGATACGATAGGAGGGATTACAATGGAAATAGCGACATGGACAGATTCACTTTCATACCAATCAAACCGACAACGCCGACGAGATACGGCGAGTTCAAGTATCCCAAGTCCAGCAGCTACTCCTTCGGAGTGTCGTCGTACGAGAAAGCCAATCCACGCGCTCTAGTGCCTAAATCCCACTCATTCAGTGTCACCCAGTCCTCGCCAAAGATCCACAGAGACGTGCGAAACGGTTACCCACCGGATGACTTCCACTTCCGCCGGAGGAACTACTCTTACGGCGAAGGCGGGAGCTTCCCATCATCATACACTCGTATCTGCGATAGAGATGGTTGTGTCAATGAATCGTGCCTAGCCAAGGAGTCAAATATGATGAGCGTGCGAAACGATCTCCATCGACCTGACGAGTCAGAAGAGGACGATCTTCCCCTGAGCATGTGGCGCTTCAAGCGATACGCCAAAGACCGAGCATTGGCAGCCAAGCAACCGCGCAGCAGAAGGTTTTACTATGGTGAGGACTTGTCGCACAACGACGACAGCAGTGTCTATGAAGACGCACAGCTGGACTGCAACGAAGATCGCTCAACACGAACTCGAAGCAGCTTTGTGGACGAAATGGAGCAGCTGATTTGCTGTGACAGACCTAAGAATAGAAAACGCCTTTCTCTGTACGATGACGATAGCGTATTTCAGATATCTGACTATAGATACGGCGCAACGAAGACAAAGAGCATGCTGGAAGTGAAGCCGCCCAACAAGTACGACGACACTTCCTCTGATTCCACAGACATCGAACTCGATGACTTCAACTTTGACTTCGAAAAGTACTGGGAAGAATTGGACAAATCACCATCGCCCCAAGAAGAGGACTTTCAATTCAAGAACTCCAACATCATTGGACGGCCAAAGGTGAAGAATAGTAATGCGGAGCGCTACAACAACGGCAGTCTGATCGACGAATGCATACCAAGTGCCGAAGAATTGCTGCTTTACGAACCGCCGCCGCCTATTCTCAAGACGCCTTCAGCTTCTCTAGATCCACCTCAGCCGGAGGGTTACATCAACAATCTGGCCTACAATGAAGCCTACGGTGCTGACTTTTACCAACCAATGACGCCGGTGCACAAGATGTCTCAATTCACGCACAAAGTCTATCCCGAATTGCATCCGGCGCACCACAAGTATACGAATTTCTACCCTCAGGAAGCATTTGTCCAATCACCACCGCCTTCCAACGCTATCAGTCTGATCAACAACATCTTCTCGATCTACAAGCCCAACAAGTATTCACCCCTGAATTGTCATACGCAGCAAATCAAGCCGGAGCCTTGCAAGAAAATCCTCATGCCCAGCACCATTCGTCCTCTCGGAGAGCACGGCTTCCTGACATCAGTTAAGCGACCGCTGCTCGTGAAGCCGATGCCCAGCCAAGAGCAGGCGCAGTTCAAGATCATCCCCGAGAAGACAGGCCTTCGGATTTCACCACTGTATCGATTCGACTTCGGCAGTGGTTCCAAGAAGAAGATGAAGCTGAAGAGCACAGCGCGACCGCTGCTCTTCCCACATTGACGCCACCTGGACAATCTTCCCACCTTCGATCGGATTCGCAACTGCCTGAAACTCCTCCTCGGCAACTGACGCTCCTCCGGAGTCTCTCCTGCGTGGCCACAAGTGTGATTCAAGTACGATAATGCAGAAAATACGGACAAGTGAGAGTTTCTTTTAGGGAAAATCCCTCGAGGCGCGAGTCTCAACCAAAACCCAAGGAAAAATGATAGTATTGTTGTTACTAAAGAAATATTAATAATGTTATAGCTTACCAGAATAGTGTGAGAGAGTATTTTTACTACATCCCATGATCATAAGGCGATTTATATGGACAAAAACAACTTTAAAAAACATTGTGAGACAACCATCAAATGCATGCTCTTGAGCCGATGCAAATGAAGCTACATAAGTAGGATCTTGCAAATTCTAGTCATTATTGAGTATTAAAGAAGTGGACAATTTTCCGCATTTGGAGATTGTCCAGTAGATTAGCATTTAAAAAATAAAATCTCTGAGGAAGGAAAGAGTAAAATAATTAAGGATACTTAAATGTTATGGACATTGTATAAATGAAAACATAAAATGTGACATAATTACGCCCGAATCTTATGAGAACAAAAACATTTATAAAATATTTCTGAATCACGGAACCGTCCGTTTTGCACCTTCACCTCCTGAACCCTGTTTTTGTGGACTTCCACCAGGATTTCCATCTCCGAACCACTCTGTTTCCGGATGATCAACACAGAGATATTATAAGATTCTCTATGCACAGAATTTACATTGTTGTCTTAACCTACTTTAGTGAAAACACACAAGAAGACTTCACGTGTTGCAATCTTCAATGATAAAAAAAAAACATCTTCTGGAGACAATTTTTATTGAATTTATAATCATTTGATATGGGAAACATTCATAAATTTCTTCCGTTAAGTCCAAAACCACTTCCTCAGTGTAAATAATTCAGAAATTCCGTGAGGCATTGAAAACCTCAGAGTGGGTATAAAAGAAAAGTTTAGACATTAGGAAGGATCATTTTCACATAACACAACACACAAAAAGAGAAAAAAACATTTGGTGTTGGGTCCAAAAGTCTTATAAATATCAAGCAAGCATTATAAATTTAAATATGTGGTCAGCATGAGAGAACTTATTTACATAATATACTTGCAGCAGCATTAAGAACTTAGGCTTCACCTCTGTTTCCAGGACAAGCATAAAATATTTAAGAAATTCTTCCACCCACACAAGGACGAGAGAAAGCGAAGAATTACCAAACATGTCAGAATACTTTTATTGCAGATTTATGACTTCTATTGCAAAGTTTCAAGTGGAAAAACTTTTTGGAAGATGTTTTGGGAGATGATAAAATTTATGTTGCAATGTTATATCTTTGACATATATAGAAATATACAATATTATTGTAGTTATATCGCTGAAGTAAATGTTTATGTCTGTGTGTGTGTGCGATTGTGGAGAAATCCCACTGGAAAATTATACACAAGGAAAAACCATGAGTGTTTTAGAGGCGTTAAGACCAAAGAGAAACATTTTACCGAAGAGAAAACTCTAGGATCATAAGATTTACAAAGGGTATACCTTAAACAATGTGATTTGTGACGTCAGTGTTATTAAACTACAACCATAATGAAGAAGAAATACCCCTTTCCTAACTGATAATCACCCTTATTTTCTAATAGATAAAATTTATCCAAATTGTAATTGAAAGTCTGTGCATGAGTGTACATAGGGCAGGAATCTGGTCAAAGGATGGCGAGAAGGAGTCATTAAATTGAAAGACCCATAGAGCACGCCTTTATAAAATGTTATTCATAATTATTGACTAGTGGTAATGTCCCCACTAAATGGATAAAATATGAAAAAGATATGAATTGTATATGTAATATTGTAACTTAAAATAATGAAATTTTAATTATACACGTAATTAGTTATACACAATGATTGTAAGCAAATTGCAGAAAGATATTTGCATTATCCACTGTGCACGTTTTCTCCCATGAAAACCACAAAAAAAATGTCAGAAACCCTCATAACTGTACATTATGCTGAAGATATCAGAGATAAATGTTGACAATTGTTAAATGCACCTGAAAGAGTCATACCGATTATTGTACGTATTGTAATTCTCCTGTGAAAAACATGTAATTCTGAAGAGATAAGAAAACGATTGAGGGCCACTAACAGAAGATACACGCATATCTCAAGATATGTGTAGATCAGATATTTCTTATTTTATAGTTTACAGAAATCATTCAATGCGTTTCAGGACATTTTTTGAACAAGAAGCTTATTCAATTTTGCGCATTTTTAGATCAAATGTAATTAAGGCAAAATTTGCATTTTATTAAACAATCATTCTGAATCTAATCAGTCTTAAAACACCCATAAAATGTATTTAGAGAGCATATCTCTAACACATGAAGAGCCTGAAGAAAGTTGCAAGAGAAATAAAGGAATAATCACTTTACTTCCACGGCGTTTTTGAATTATTTATCTACCATTTCCTTCGGAGAGAATCCCTCAAAAAGAAAAAAAGGTCTTTCTTTGCTGCATTATTTATTTGAAACACTTAAAACCCTGTAATATGCGCATATCACAATTGGAGAGGATCGAGAGGAGCTCGCAAGATTTAGCCGGTGAGTCCGCCCAGGAGTCCACCGATGGTGCCGACGACTCCGCCGACGGCTCCGCCCACGGTTCCGAGCAGGCCGTTGAGGATGTTGGCGATGGCGGTCGGAATGGTGACGCCGAGAGCCACAAGAGCTCCGGTCACGTTCTGCAGGAGAGACTGCAGCTCGGCGCTGATCGGGCCGACGACGGACTGGAGGACATCGACGATCTGGCCAGCGGCGTCGAGCACCAGAGTCAGGATCTCGCCCACGGAGCTCACGACCTGGATGAGGATGTAGCCCAGGACGGTTCCGAGGATCGTCACGAGCTGACCAACGCCGAGAGCGAGCTGGCTGACGGCAGATTGGATGGCGGTGACCAGTTGATTGACGGTGGTGGTCACGGCGCCGGTCACGGTGCTCACGGCGGTGGACACGGCATCGGTGCCAGCGGGTGCTCCTGAGGAAGAGAGAAGATCAGCGGCGTTCCCAGAATGGGGCGGGAGAGGACTTACCATAGGCGACAGCCGCGACGGCCACGAGGACGGTAAGAGTGGTGAAGAAACGCATGTTGCTCAACTTGCTGATTGCTGCTGGAACTGATGTCTTCCTCTGGTTTTCCGGCGCTTTTATACGCGATCTTCTCTTCTGGAGCTTCTGCAGAAGCTGCAAAAACAAGAAGGAAGCTCGTGGAAGAGAACAAACCGCTTGTTTGTCCACGAGGCTGCTCGAAATCCTCGTGCAAAATTTTAGAAAAAAACTCATTAGAGAAGATATTTTTGAGATATAAAAATACGAGAAATGAACTGATGTGCAAATATTATTGCAGATTTTATCGCAAAATGAAGAAAATTCTGATATACAAAAGCATATTTTTGAAGCCAGTTTTCGTCGGATATAGTACATTCATTATAAATATATCAATTCGACTCTTATATAATTTCTTAAGTAATATTTAGCCAATACACAAATTGATCATCTGTATGCGATTCTATTTTCCCGAGTTCTTATGGAAGTAGATCAATATTTGAGCATGTTTCTTTTGATATCATCTATTCACAATAAAGTGTGTGAAGAGAATTAATCAGCTCGTCAAAAAGGCGCCCGCGAATCTTGTGTTTAATATACTGAAGCATGTGTCTCAGAAATGTCGTCATGAACTTTAAGGCAACGGCAATTTCAAAAATATTTATTTATACATTTCTTCCAAATTTTCAAGCTGATCTGTTTCTCCACGAGTTTCTCGTCAAACACCTCAAAAGATGCACGAGGATTTCGAGCAGCCTCGTGGACAAACAAGCGGTTTGTTCTCTTCCACGAGCTTCCTTCTTGTTTTTGCAGCTTCTGCAGAAGCTCCAGAAGAGAAGATCGCGTATAAAAGCGCCGGAAAACCAGAGGAAGGCATCAGTTCCAGCAGCAATCAGCAAGTTGAGCAACATGCGTTTCTTCACCACTCTTACCGTCCTCGTGGCCGTCGCGGCTGTCGCCTATGGTAAGTCCTCTCCCGCCCCATTCTGGGAACGCCGCTGATCTTCTCTCTTCCTCAGGAGCACCCGCTGGCACCGATGCCGTGTCCACCGCCGTGAGCACCGTGACCGGCGCCGTGACCACCACCGTCAATCAACTGGTCACCGCCATCCAATCTGCCGTCAGCCAGCTCGCTCTCGGCGTTGGTCAGCTCGTGACGATCCTCGGAACCGTCCTGGGCTACATCCTCATCCAGGTCGTGAGCTCCGTGGGCGAGATCCTGACTCTGGTGCTCGACGCCGCTGGCCAGATCGTCGATGTCCTCCAGTCCGTCGTCGGCCCGATCAGCGCCGAGCTGCAGTCTCTCCTGCAGAACGTGACCGGAGCTCTTGTGGCTCTCGGCGTCACCATTCCGACCGCCATCGCCAACATCCTCAACGGCCTGCTCGGAACCGTGGGCGGAGCCGTCGGCGGAGTCGTCGGCACCATCGGTGGACTCCTGGGCGGACTCACCGGCTAAATCTTGCGAGCTCCTCTCGATCCTCTCCAATTGTGATATGCGCATATTACAGGGTTTTAAGTGTTTCAAATAAATAATGCAGCAAAGAAAGACCTTTTTTTCTTTTTGAGGGATTCTCTCCGAAGGAAATGGTATAGTTTTTTTTTTTAACTATTGGTAGAATATAAAATATGCTTGCATCTGGTTATATTTAGTTTTCACACTATTTATCTATCAGACTGAAATTATAATTTATTTTACGAATTTTCTCGTCAGTTTAAAGATAAATCATTGTATAATTAATATACAACATACAATTATTATATAATTAATAATTCCGTTAGAAAGCAACTTTATTGCCCGAACAACACGAGTTTTGAAATGAAAGCATTCGTGAATTCATCCAAGTCCCAAACCATAAGAGAGGTTCTTAAGATAAGAGAAAAGCCAGCCAATAATCTTAAAGCTTCCTTCATTTATTGTTTCGCACATCTCTTGTCATAACAATAAAGCTTAATATATAGTTAATTCTTCAACAAGGAAAAACTTACTCTTGCTTATTACAAATTATCATCTATATCACATTTATTTTTAGTTAGTTTAATTTTAGTGTTGCTTGCGTAGTAAAAAAGAGTAATTAGTTGAATTGCGTTAATTTCGTCACTCATTACGTTTGACTTGGCGCTCCATTTGAACGACACGGAGCTGTTCAGACTGGCGTTGGGGCGGCGACAGGACTATTGCTATCAGTTGTGGACGTCACTTCGCTGTTGGTGCCTTTGAAGCCGGGAAAGAGGGTGGAATACGATGGTGGTGGTTCAATCTCGTCGTAGTTCGGCGGCGTCAAGTCCGACTGCGTGGATCCCGAGGCGGGACTGTCTGCGAAGGACTCCCCAGTGTGCCCATCTCCGCTGCCACTTCCCGGCGTCGTGGGTTTTGTCTGACGGCAGCAGCACTCTGCAAATTAGAGCAGAGTTCCAAGTCGTGAATAGCACATTTGGATAGATATAAATTTGATAATCAGAGTGACTCAGATAAACTTTTGCTATCTGAAAATTCCGTAGCATATCTTGAGATTCATTAGCCCTATTAGTGGTGCCTAAAAATAATCCCAAATCGCAAACTCACCCCAAAGACCACAGATGAGCAGAGCTCCGCCGCAGAGCAGCATTCCCAGCATCAGGTATCCCCACGGTCCGTATCTCGACAGGCCTCTCGTGAGGCTCTTCCTGGTGCTCGTGGGCGCCAATGTGGGCTCGGACGTCACCAGCGGCGGCAGCACAGTTGTCGACGTGGACGTCAGATCGGGTGAGAAGAGCTCTCGGAACATCTGCATCGAGAAGTGCTCCCACAGCTGCATCTTGGGCACCAACGGCGACTTCTGACTGCCCGAGCAGAGCTCAGCGCTCTCGTCACTGTCGTACTCGTTGCCTGACGGGCAGTGCTGCACGCCGTCACAGATGAGATCCTCGCTGATGCAGAAGAGCGTCTCGTGGCCGACGCGAAGGCACGGATGCTTGCGCTCTTGCTTGCACAGCTCGCCCTTCCCGAAGGCAGTCAGGAGGAGGCGGTAATTCGGCATGTTCCCGCCATGCTGCCACACAATCCTCAGGCGTCCCTGGAGCAGGCGAACGGGCTCATCGACGCCTCCATTCGCCTCCAGTTGGCACGGATCAATGCGCCAAGGAGGGATTCGTGCGTCGTTGGAGAAAAACTGCAGAGATAGAATTGTGTTATAGTTTCATGCTGAAAGTTTCACGTGCTGCGCCTCAAATTGGGTCAAAGTCAAGATGTAAAGTGAAGGATGGACGTAAATAGGCTCAATGAAGTGCAACCATCAAATCAATATGCTCTATAGTCTCAATATTAAGACTAAATTGTTTCCTAGAGGACCAATTTTGCATACAAAAACTCCTCAAATTCACTTCCATGTGCCACATTATTTGAATAATTTGTACAAGAGAGTCAAATGAAAATTTCCATTGTTGATTAAATGAATGAATTTAGAAAATCTCTGAATTATTCAGCGCATATCGTCTAACTTAATTCACTATTCATTGTCAGGGTCGATATTGTGGTAATCAATTTCAATTTATATACCGCCAGTACTGACTTGAGAAGGAAAGGATCATAAATTGATGGCTTTACTGGCGACACTTTCGCATGTGCCCAAATTTGGTGAGAATGGGTAATTAAAATGCGATCACAAAAGCCATCTCATTATTCACTATCAACGCTAATGGCAGTGCAATGCGTCGGACGCGCCTCAAATCCAGGCGAATAATTACCTTGGTTGTGTGTGACATAAAATTTTCATGGATTTTCGCGCATACATTATGTGAAAATCAACACATGAATACCAATTATGTCACATTATTAGTTTCTCAAATCTCTGCAATAAATCATAGTAAAATGAATTAAAAGGCTTCTCTTCCTGGATTCAATTAAACTCCAACAAAACAGGCTTTTTTGCCCCAGAATGCACGAAAAGAATTTAATGAGCACCGCGAAACATTTGACAGCCAAGCATGAAACACAGTAATTAAACCATAATACAACTTACAATTGTCAATGGGCACGACTCTGTCGTGGAATTGGTCGTGCGCATCTTCAGGCCACTACTCAGATTCTTGTTGGTGAAGGTGAACTTCTTGCCCGTGGCGGGCCGATGGAGGCGCACAAAGAACCCATGAGATTCCGGCGCCAGGAAGATCCTCTTGCACGACCCCCGAATCATGTGCGGCTTCAGCTCCAGCGTGAGACTGGACTCCACCCCATCCTCCTGCAGGGAAGTCTCCGGCAACTCGCTGCAGATTGACTCTGCTGCCGTTGGCGCTGAGTCAACATCTGCGGAGGAAATGCACATCATGTATTTGGGTTACAAGTCGCATTGGGGCAATTGATATTGGGTCAACTTCTGGATGGATTCCAAGTGAGACGAGATAATTTGACGCAGAATCTGACGCACCCATAAACAGTCTCTCCAAAGCTCAAGTTCACACAATACACATTTGGTAAGTTGATGGCCAATTCAGCTGTGAACACTGCCCAGCCTCAACTCTATTGTCACTCAGAGACATATCAATGCTGTGCTGTAACAATTCTGAGAGTAATTCAAGGCCCACGATTGCTTGAAACTGACCATAATCGCGTGCGATTATCTCCTGCGACACACCCAAGTAAGATGATTATTTGAAATTGTCTGTAATCACATTTTTAGAAGCTGTAGTTGGATGATGGAATTATACTCAGACTGAAGATGTAATCAAATGAATGACGCCTTTTTGGTACTAAACGTGTTAAAAGTCTTGAAATTACTGTATTTGCAGTTTTTTCAAAGTCTCGTACACACAGCGGAATAACATAAGAAACGACTTTGTCAAATCTTAACCCTAAGAAAAGATTCAGTTAAAAGATCGCACTATTTTTCCTAAGCTCACTTTAAAAAAGAAATATTTTTCAAAATTGAGCGAATATCAAACATGTTTTTCAGTCATTTATGTAAGCACACACTGCAAGAGTTTGTTAGTTCAGCATGTCTTCAAGGTGTCCACAAAGGTGTTGCAAACACACGAGTTTTATTGAAAAACTCTTCAAAAGTAATCCGTGTTTTCAGTGCTTCTCCATCAGTTTAATAATAATAATGCTCTGGGAGATTACGAGCGTGTATGAAATGTCGTGCAATTAGAATTATATATCTCCTCTCATGTATATGTATTTCGCCCGAGAAAAAAAAACAAATCAGATGACTCTATCGCTATTTATGCACAATAACATTCATGCAAGACAAGAGCGAGTGTAAAAAAATGAGCACTTGAAGCCCAGACATTGCCATTTACCACGTTCTCCCTCTGATGTTAATTTCTCCTCTACTCTATTTGAGATTCGAGCTATGTAATGGCTCACTCATTGAGCTGCGGTCGAGAGAGAGAGAAACGTCTCATGAAGTCAAACGCTTACGGGGTCACTTACAAATTGACCCCGCAATTGACATCTTATCAATTTGGCATGATAGCCGCTCCTTCGCAGACGGGATGCGTGTCCATCCACTTAGTGCAATTAAGAGCCGAAACGTGTGCTTGTAATTCAATTTGCTCTCGGATCGCAGCGTCAAGAATTGACACTTTGTAGTTGAAATCGATTAGAATCACTTGAACATTGTCAATTGCAGGCAATTTACTGAAATTTCCGTACAAAAAGCCATTTGCGCTCTTCAACCTGACATTAAAGCGTCATTAATTCACTGAACTAGATTAGGTTCATGTGTGCTTCCCGGTACAGTTATGAAAATTGAAGTGTCGAAAAAGTGACTCACTGGCGGAATTATATTCAAATGCTTTCAGCCCAAAAAAAGAGAAGGGCCGAAAAGCAGAGATTTTTGGGTAATTCTTCAAGGCGAGCGAGTCTCGAGCGCAAAAACACGTTGTAAACTTTTCAGCAAGATCGCGTGAAGCGTGGAAAAATCTACTAAAAGCATCCATTGAGATTCTCCTAAGGATCCATAAAGGAGAAGTTAATTATGTGAGCAGAATGATTGCTTCGCACGCCAAGAGTCGCAGTTCAATGAATTTTATCCTAATTTGTGACATGACAATGGAGTCATTTAGCGGATTAAGTCACTTCTTGAGCCACCCAAATTGGCGTCTCATTCTTCATGTCACTCTTGGTCATTCAATAAAACGACAAAGCGAACTCTAATGAACACTAGAGGAGTTTTACGTGTCTTGTTATACATTCAAGTGAGTATAAGAATAAACTACGCTAGAAACAATTATTCCTGTCGAATTTAAGATTGAAATTAAAGCTTGATCTCTCTCAGCTGTGACCCATTTAACCCTTTGAAATCATAAGTGTGAAATTGCCAGTTTTTGTGTTGAATTGGAAAGCACGAACATGACTACAAGACTAACTTGGCGATGATGTTTTCTTGAGGTAATTTCTAATGTTCTTATCAATGTGTAGTAAACAGATGTCAATATTTAAGCTAACGAAGCAATTTATAGAATTCCAGTGTACTTTAGTTACAAGCTATTAGCTTGTCAATAAGTTATTTTCGGATCATTTGATCACTTCTCCTTCACAACTCATTCGGGATAAAACTACAGAAACTCTGTTCAGATATTAAGCACATATCAATGGAATAATTATCAAGCTCATCCTCATTATATACATTATAAACCCCGAAAATTGAGGAAAATAAGTGTTTTCTAAGAGTGGAAGCACCGCATTTTATTTTAACTCTATTAAAAGGTATTGATATTGGGTGATTGGCGAAGGGAGAAACGATGAGACAATGTGGAGGCATTAATTTGTCTATTACAGCCAAAGACAACACAAATATGGTCGACGTCATGTGGAAGCAATATAACAAGTGATTAATTGAATTAAATATGTCGTAAACAAGGCGCGAGAGATTGCGAAAACTCGTTCTCTCAGATTGTTTATTCGCGCTATTTCCATTTATCGGGTAATCAATAAATAAATACACATATTGGACGCCAAAATAACCAATTGATTCTTCTCATCTCGAGAAGCATTCTTGCCTCCCGAAAAATTGGCGGCTTTAATTGTGCGACTCAAATTTCCAGCAGCTACAATTTCTTTATATTTTTGTCGCTGTTGCTCAAATGGGTGGAAAACTTGCGATATGCTGATAAACACTTTGTATGCCGAGCCACTTGGTAAATTTCATGCTCCAATTAGTGTCTCTCCTCTCTGGGAGAATAGCGAGATGAGGAAGAGCGAAAGGGTTTTGGCGATAGAGCGCAGCAGAATTCTCAAGATAACTCTCTAAAACTCAACTCGCTATTAATTATTCCAGCTCGCCACTACTCGACATTCATTTATCGGTCAATTGTGATTGTAAATAGGCTGCATTTTGCCTGTGTGAGGGCGCTATATGGAGTGGAGAATAGCATTCGAAATGTATATGGGAGAAAAACCGGAGAGGTCCAAGGCATGAACCTTCAATGGGATGTTCTCTATCAATGTTGTGTGGATTTTTGCGGCCCTGGCGGATCAACACGCCGCAGAAAAGCACTTTGATTGACCGATTTCTCACTCAAGCACTCTGCGAAGTTCTCTTTCGCGCTCAATTTTCTCTCTAATATCGCACTGTCTGAGCTGAGAATTTTATTGCAAATTTCCATGGATGCAAGTTAGACACTCTGGAGCGGCCAAGAACCTTGCAGCGATGAAGAGGTGTGCCAAAGTGGAGGTTGTAGTAACACTTTTCGATTATTGCATTGCTTAATTGCATCTCATGTTACAATGTTTACCTGCCACTTGAGTGCGATATGATGAAACTTTCATGAAAATTGCAATAAAATTATTATAATTCACACAAGTCATGCTCAGATTCATTCTTGCACTTTGTCTGCCAGAAATCTCAATGCACACAGAAGTTAAGCAATGCGAATGTGACAACTCTTCTCTCTCTTATCAGGCTTAAGATGATTTTCAGAAGTAATCCTTTTAGAACAAGTCTAGTTGAATCGAGTTTTCGCCGAGTGACAGAGCAGACGACTTAAATTGCCATTAGCGTCTAATAAATCGTCATTATCTGACATTGTTTCTGGCGAATTGAGCATTTTCGAGTTTCTCTCCTTGAATGCCACGGCAAAACAGCGCTTATTTTCATTCTGTCTTACAATTATGTTTACTTAAGAGTACAGCACTTCACGTGCGCATTTTGTACCATTGTTGTAACATTTATAAATTTAATGGTTTTACAGGTAAAATAAACTAAAAATAGAAAATGCCCAAAGATGTTCATGTATTACTTAATGCCTTACATTTCCAAATACTGGATGACAATGGCATCGACAAACATTGAGAGTGACAAGACAACAGAAGGCGCAGTCAAATTGTGACAGGGGAGATTAAAGTGGGGTGGAAAGAAAGAAAGAAAGAAAGACATTCTGCGTGGTTTTTGCGTGAGAGTGATTCGTGATGCCTATGCAAATAGCGCGGAGTCAGGTAGAAATGATGTTTGCGCAAAATGTTGAGGAAGTTTGAAAGGCACGCTGAGGCTTGCATCAGTTTTCATATCATGCAAATGGATTTCTGCATCTCATTTGATATCTTCGATGTTTAGCCACGAAGACCATTTACTTGGCGTTACACCGGCGAATGTGACGCAATTGGAACTTGTTTTCAGCGCTGTTTACTCACTCGCTCTAGGGCTCGCCATCCATCACGTGTCGAAAGCCCCGCTTAATCACCAAGAAAGTCTCCAAAATCACCAATATATCGCCAATTGTTCTTGTCTACTGGAAACACGAGACAAGCTGAGGAATTCTTCCCCAAGTCGTCCGTCAAGTGAAAATGTTTTTTGTCTCTGCGCGTCGTGAGTCACATTCGAGTGATTTGCTTGTTGCTGGGAGTCTTCGAGAGCCGCTCTCTCACACTACCGGATGCGGAGAACCAAATTGGCCATCCATTAGAGAAGCAATTCGACCCCTGAATTGGCTGAATCGCGATCATGCGGAGCACATGTGGTGTTTATTGTTAGTCAATGCCAAGTGCATTTTAATTGGCGACAATATCTCACATCTTCAGGTAGGTGTGCGCGCTCATGATTTCCCGCACGGTGAGCAAATTTGCTTTTCCCCATTGCACACCAGCACGACAAATTTCACAGCGCGCCAATGATCACACATTCAGCCTTCCTCAACGCGAGTGGGTCGCTTGATTTTGATCGTGATGATGCTATTTTTACACCTCAACGGTGAGTATCTTTTCTCTTTTGACTTCGCGCTACACCCAGTATGGAAATTGAGGAAGTGAATGTACACCACACTACTGGCGGTTTCCAATTGCGAGGAGATGCAAAAAGAATATCATCATCATCATCATATGGTGGAGAATCTCTGCGTGCATGAGATCTAGATTGGTTGGATTTTGCACTGCGCGCTGGAAAGTTGAGACAGCAAATTAAAGTGTATATATCTGAAATAAGTATCGCGAGTTTCCAGTTACAATCATCCACGGCTATTTTTAGCCTCATCTGCTCTCTTCCATACGTGAAAGAAAATCAGGCAAGAAACTCGAGTCATGCAGGTCTCTAGCGGAATGCCAAGAGTGCCAAAGGTTGTTCACCTGCTCCGTGCACCCTTTCTCAGACACATCGTGGCGAATCATTTTCTTCTTCACCTGATTATTACGCGAATTTCCTACGCTACACCCGGAGTATGCGACAGTGGAATCAGCGGAGGAAAATAGTCAATATGCATAAACACATGGATGAATCACAGCAACTTCGCTAAGCGTATAATCATCCCAGACAAAGATCATTCAAATGTCCTTTCACTTTTTCTCGCATTGTGAATAATTGCTCATTAATTAGCGACATGTATATGTAATCTGCTCAACCTTATTGCACTACAGGAATTTTCTACGCCCATTTTGCCAACTCTGTCGCAATTCTCCCAATCGCCAGTGACTAATCCTCTGCAACTTTGTCATATTTCTCTCGAAAAGCTCATTAACCGCTCGGGTTTTCGATGGAAATTCAACGCCAAATGAGCTCGTTATTGACCCATATGAGTGATTCTAATTGTTAGACTAAAAATTTTCCACTTACGTGAATGAATGGACGCACTGTAAGTCAATTGCAGAGTCAATGTGAATATAGACCAGTGTACGACCAACATTCTCTCAGTGGTTTTTGTGTCATTTACACGTTCATTTCTGGAACAATTACTGCACTTGGCGCGACTCCTCGCCCACTGAACAATGCATTAATTGATGTAGATATCTTGGGCCGCCTCGAGATATTTCACCGTTACCACTCGAGGAGTCACACGAATCACACACTCCTCCAGAAATTGCTGATCATTTGACAACCACAGTCACTTTATATTGAACACATGGAAGATGCGCGATGCCGTGAAAATCAAATATTTGCTGTAATTCTTCACGACGAAAAACTCAGCCTGAGATAAAAACTCCAGAAAGGCGTTGCTTGTGTCAATCGCGCGCGCTGTTCAATTCTTGTGCACACAAAATCGGGAAGGCGAAACATAGAGACACAGCGAAATATCTTTGCGAATGTCAGGGAATCACAGTGTTGCGAAAATCACTCTTTTACACCTAATATTGCGCCTGGAGAAACCTCTGCTGCTTTAAGCTGGCGAAGAGATTTTTCTGATCACCGAAGAAAACACACTCAAACGAGACTCTCAACTCCGCGAGATGCCACGCAATGGCAGCTGCTCAGGCGGGAACGCTGAAACTGACTGACCTGCTGGAGTGTCTGACTCTCTCGCATCGTCTCCAGCAATCCGGCTCTCCACAAGTCACTCCTCCGCGCCCCTCTTCTCCCCCCGCGACTGCCGTCAAGGCTCGGAAACTTTGGAAATTTCACGCGAAACTTTCTCATGGGAAGAAACGAAATGCTCATCAATTGCATAAATAACCCAAGTGTTCTTAGCAGGATTTTATGTTTGTTCTTATGTGATATTCAATCACGAATCACGATGAAAATTTTAAAGCAAATATCTATTAATATTCAACAGAATTTTTCACACATGGAATCTCCAATGTCTCATTTATATGAACAAAAATAAAATATATAATCCAAAACCATAATTTTCCTATTCTATCTTATCTTCCTTCAGTGAGAAAAAAGGCTTTTATTACACTCTTAACGTCACTAACAGCCGGAAAATGTCCTCAAATTCTGATTGCGCACAACATTTGCAATCACCCGTCAATTTCATGAAACATTGAAGCCTCTGTGTCAGCGTCTATTGTCGATTCGCCCGCGTTACGAGTGCCAACATGCAGAACTTTTTACGCGCCACAAGCGTCTCGACTTTCGGCACTCTTGGCCACGGAGTCATCTCGCCGTGGCATCGAAATAGTCGATATCTTCGCCGAAAACTACCATAGAGCGTGTGTGTTGGTTTTGGAGAGTCACACAAACCGAAAGCGATATGTAACTTATGTTCGCGCGACGAAGAAGAGAATTGCCATGCATGACGCACAGTGGCTGGAGTCTAATGAAAAATTCTCAAAATTCCTCACTATCAAAGTAGTGGGAAAATTCTTCAATAAGTTTCATTCAGCAGACATGCAGAATCGCAGAAAAGTGGTGTGCAAGTGAAGGAAAACTCGTCGACATCGTGGAAGACAAGCCCACATCGGTTGTTAAATTGATTAGCTGCTCGTGGAGGTCAGAATCGCTGAAAAATTCCATCAGAATGGGCGAATTGGGTGGAAAAAGGTTAGAAAACAAATCCCCAATTGAACTTTATGAGAAACTAATTGAATTATTAAAAAACATTCCGCTTTATTTACACTTCAAATTAATTGAATGGGTCTCAGGACAATAAAGTAAAGTACTAAAGAAGCTCGAAACGAAGACAGCAAAGAGGCAAAAACACTTTTAGCTTATTGACTCGGATGTCTTTTGTTGTTTGTGAGCGAGGAAGTCGGAAGTGTGGAACGAGAAAGAAACTTACTCATAATAACTTCTGTTAGGAATAAATTCATGCTGAGTTTTGGCCGACTATTGAGCTCTACGGTTCATTTTCTCAGACTTCTCAGCGTAAACAAGTGAAGAAAGAAAACGTGTTGTTAATGTGATGAAGTATAGTTGTTTTTCCCATGCAGAACTGTTAGTTCTATTGAACATTCTAATGAGAAATATCCACTTAGCATTACAGTTTTTCTCATTTTTGGCTCTTTACTTGTAATTTGAAGTTAATCACTTCCAAAGTGACACAATTGATGAAATTTTGCATGACTCAAGTTTTATTCCAATTGTCGACATGACACAATTCCTCACAATTCTCATTTTAACCATTTTTCAGCTTCCGCTTCAGTCACAAAGTCTTCATTATAAAGTAAGCTTCTGTGTTACTTTTAAGTCAGCCATAAAATTACTCCAGCAAAAACATTTATGAGATGCCCAAAACTTTCAGTTTGTGTCTGTGAGAAAAACAACAAGTAAAGCCAAAGTATAATTAACCATTTGATCTGCTAAAGCATTTAGAAATCCGTAAAATTACTTAAAGCTTCTTCAGATGACGATCGTCGATTATCTCCAAAGACACGGAATAAGTAAATTTTTCTATAATTAATCTAATTTTCGCATTTAATTAACCAAATTAATTTCCTTGACGTCTTTAATTGCATTTTGTAGAGATATTATCTGGAGATGATTGCTTTTATTCCGAGAGAACTATTACAAATCACGGATTTTTTTTCACAAATTAGCATCAATTGAAGCTTTACACGAGAAACTCCAGGACTTTTCTTCCTCGTGTTACCTTTGCAAAACTTGCCTGATAGTTTAAAGCTTTGCAAGTATAATTCATCTTTCGTTGTTTGTTTATGCCTCAGATTAATTATAATGTAAGAAGACATAAAACTGCTGCGCAACTTTGACTCAACTCGAATTCAGAGAAGATTTTCCCACATTTCGTGGACTTCTTGGCAAACACAATCACCGCGCAAGAGAGTGCTTTTCGGTGTATGATCCTCCGAAGTGGTGCGCACAGCGTGTGATGTCTTGGAGAGAGGTGATCCCCGGCGAAAACACCGCCAACGCCAGCTGGGCATGCTCGTGGCAGCATGATAATGTGATGCTTGTGTGCGAAAGAGCGGAAAATATGCTGAAAGTTATCAATGTCACTATTGTGTGCCGTGCAGAGATAAATGGCTTTTGCATGGAGAATGTCTGGGACCTGACAACAAAGGGAGTCTCAACCTGAGTCATGCCGCTGAAGACTGCGGCTCGCCTTCGTCACTCGCCTGACACTCTGTTGTCACTGAAATTTTGTCCAAATTGCACAACAATTCACCCACTTTCTCGCTATATGACACAGAGTCTTAGGGAGACATGAAAAGAACTTATTGATAACGAAATGTTTCAGCATGTAAAAGCTTAAGATGGGATCTCGAGATACAGTAATCCACTCAGAAGCGACCCATTAGGAACCATTCAATCAATCATCACAGGGAAAATTAAGAGAGACAGTGAAGGTGGAATCAATTAGATTGCTCAAAATTATCTCGTCAATGTCACACGACGAGGAAGTTTTCCAATTCTCGATTGTCTTTATCAATTCCCCAACTGTGAAGGAGCGATACAAGCACTTCAGGTCATTTGATTTGAAACCACTTCGCCCTCCCGTCGATTGGACAATCTTATATGCTCTCGATAAAGTCGCGCCGACCGGCTGAAACCGGATTTATCTCATGTGAAGCAAATCGCGCGACTCAGGCAAATCACTGATTTTTCTCCCAAACCCAAAGTGCCTTTTGCTTACGTAAAGTTCATATCAGGTGTTTCTTAGCGCAGTGAGATGCCACAAAAGCTGAAGAAGATATCAATTTGTCTTCCGGAGGGATTTGACAAGAGTGCGAATCTTTTCAATAAACAACACTCAAAGGCCATGAAATTAACTCCGTGGATTTTCGCGCGGCAAAGTCCCTCCTTCCGGCTTAGTTGTCAGCCAGAAATCCCACGGTGAATCTGCAGAATTTCCATTCACGGCACGCGGTCTCTCACGTCGTATCAAAGACAGAGGGTCAATAAAGTGAGAAATTAGCTCGCGCAGCTATTGAAGGCAAATAGCGACCAATCCAATTAAGATTATCGCATTTGAGACGCAAAATTTCGCCAAGTGTTGCGCAAGTCGTGGAAGTGGCCACTTTATGGCCTGTGGAAAATTCTCGAGCACCCGAAAAAGAGCGAAAGTTTGTGTGAGTAGGGGAAATGTGTCGCTTTCTTCAGACCAACACAGTTCAGCCAACAAAGAGATGTTTTTCAGTCCAATCTTCCGGAACCCCTAGAAAGACAAGGAATAATTGCGCATTTGACGTGAAGATTTTGAACGGAATTCATGTGTGCAAAAAATTATACATTACGCATTAAGCTAAACTTGCTTCTGAGATTAAAAAATTTAATATCTTTCTGAAGAACAGAGTTTAAAATTAAGCAACAGCTTTTTTCTGGCGCTTTTGAGCTTCTCGACTATAGAAGAAAGTTCAAATAAACGTATAATAAAAGAATTTTGGCAAAAAATACGATCAAAAATATCAAATAATGTTTACACAAGATTTTATCTTAAAAAAAATAGACAAAATATTGAATTTACCTAAATTTCTGTTTCATTTTCTACTTCAACATAAAGTACTTCTATGTAATGTATAAGTTTCCTGCTAACTTTTCAAATTCCTCACAATTATTGCCATACGTTTTCCGTGCCGAACAAAGAATACGCAAATGATAAATTCAATATTGAAACAAAGATGTTCTGCTGAAGAAAGAGATCTCACATACCAGATCCAATAAAAGAATAATGAACTTATTGTACCTGCTCTAATTTTTCTACACTTCCTTGTGTAAGTGTTTTCTCTCCCAGTGCGATGCAAGAAGGAGCATTCTTTTGTCCGTTTCAAGACTCTTTTCCACCTTTTTTCCAATGCGGAAGACATACAAAAATCACCTGCTCGGTGACTTTGAACTCCAAAACCACCCACAATAAATCACAGCGAGTGTGATAAGGAAAGGGATTTGTGATATTTCTTTCTTTCTCTCACATTTATTCCACCTAAGCTATAATTACAGTATATGAACTTTGTTATTGTATAAAAGAATAATTTGTTAAAAACAGTTTATCGTTAAGGACACAAAGGCTTTGGGTATGAATATCGACAGAAATGGCACAGTTTGCAACTCTTCCAGATGCACATTGAGAGGTAGCGCACCTGAGACATCGGCAGTTGCGCCCCAGGTCCGAACGTCATTGGACCGACACAGAGAACAGCACTATCACAATTGAGGAATTTGTTCTGTGGCGGGGAAATAGTGATAACATTATTTGTCAGTCTTTTCTTCAAAACTCAGGCGTTCATCGAGAATTTGCGTTCGTCACACGCGAGTTCATCTCTTCTTCCCAATGTCACAGTTCACAGCACTGCACGTAAACTTCTCTGGGTTTTTCCTGGTTCGCTCTCTTTTTTTTGTCCACTCACACCTTTTATCAGCGCCCCAGAAGAAATATGGTGTTCGACGCAGTGATAATGAAGAGGGTCTCCGAAACATGCTTAACAGCCACAAATCCACGCAGATTACCACAAGCTGCGGGCGTAGCTAAAACCTCTCCACTTGAGTCTGGCTCTGGGCGACTTCCGTGCCGTCGGACGAGTTCGTGACGCGCTCCTCCGGCTGAATCACAACTTCCTGCACTTGTGGCGCCTGATCCGTGTTGGATTCGCTCACGGGCACGATGAATACGCGATTCTTGTACCGCTTCATCACGCTGTCGTAGCTGGGCGGCGCGAACTCCCTATACGACGGCGCCGGGGTAGGTGGGGCGGTCGTTGGGGGCTCCTCAGGCTTCCTTGGGCGGCCGCAGTAATTGTCCGAGCACGCCATCACGACGAAGAACGCCACGAGAGCCACGAAGGTCGAGAAGTACCAAATGATGGTGATCGTGTCCATATCTATTCCCGTCCTCGGGACGTCTTCAGGTGCCGCAGCTGCGGAAAAGCACAGCAAAACGATCGATCAATTCAGTCAATGCACAAGAGGTAAATTGTGGAAAATTCCCACACAACAACAACTCACTTAGGAAATCACAATCTGTCGAATTATTCTCCTTCGACGAGTCCTCACCAACATTTTCGCCGGTGAATTCTTCCACGAAGAATGCTGACACCACGTGTACGATCGCGAGCACTGCAAGAAGGCAAATGGGTGTGAAAAATCAACAGCAATTCATCCAGGTGAGGCTTATCACTCCAAAAATCCAACACATTGATACTGTCGGAACCAGTAAATTATGGATTTCGTAAGGTGAGTGATACAGATCTCAAGGGGCGACCAATTGCGCTGACTTTAGGTTTGAATGCGGAATAAAGCAGTCATTGTGCACTTCAGCACTCAACATTGCGATCAAGCAATGGACAAAGACTTTGCCTTAAGTTTTCTTCTTCTTTAACATTTGAATTCAAGTGAAATCTTGAGATTTTTAACACTTTTCACTATAACTCTCACCCTGTTCATGAAGAAGAAGAGAATTTTCATCTTCTCCAGTCACATCTACTTCAATGAAAAGCTCTTTCAAAGTACTATCTAAATTACTACCACAGCCAATTATTCCATTTTCAACGACAACTTGTTCATAGTTTTATTATTCTGGACAATAAGTTATTATGAAATTTTACCACCCCTCTATTTACCATTATCTTATCTTCAAGTCACGAAATATTATCTTAACATTTATTTGTGTTTGAAAATATGTGTAAATTTCGTTGGGGGAACATTGCGGAAAAATGGACATAAATTTCCCATTGATATAGACATTGTGACGTCAATGTTTTTGATTTATTTGGCACGATTAAGTGCTCTTTACTTGGCTCTCAACGCCACTCTTTGGGGTAAGCGCTCTGCAAAAGCACCGCGCCTAATCTTCAGCCTCTTCAGCCCTTTGGGATTAGGTGAGTTTATGCTAATTCGGGTTACAATTCTAGGCCATATCGAGCTTAGTAGCTCCGACGGTTTAATTTAGGACGTAATGCAGATGGAGCCTATTTTCGGCAAAATTTATCACTGCGTCATTCTTAAGTCTTTCGCTTCTCGAAAACAGTAATCAATGGATATTTTTGCAAGCCAATTGAATTACTTCGCCATGATTTCAAAGCTCCTAATCACATTTACGTCATCTTCCCAAAGCCATAAAATCATAGGGTTACTCATTGTTTATTGCGAGACAATTTTTTTTTGTGCGAAAATCACCAGGATAGACAAGTTTTAGTGGAAGGAATGACTATTGAAAAGCACACACTATTTTCAAGTACACTACATAAGATATGTGTTAGAAAAAAGCTAAGGCAAACAACAGTCTATAAATCTAAGTCACTACATTTGTCGGCAATTGACTTTAATAGAGTAAGTTTCTAGTGCCAATATTTCACAATTATTAGAATAATTGCATAAGTAATACAAATTGCTCATAGAAATGATTTCCTGTGTTCTTTTTTTTTGTTAATTCAACATTCTTCTTCGCAATTTCATCATGGAGATTCTCAAGATTCGTGAGAAATTACCAGTTCTCACACTCACAGGTGAAGCAATTATTCGATCGATTGAGTAGAAGTGCAAAATGCACTTTCATTGTTACTCTTCAAACACTTCAGAAGCTTCTCTGAGGATTTTCTACATCTCACCGTTTAGCGTTTCCGGAGACATTTTCCAGCCAAAAAAGCGTGCCTCAGATAGTATTCGTGGTTCTAAAATAGACACAAATTATCGTTATCACGATTACACACATTTTCCTGATAGTCTGCAATTATCGTATCACTTCATTCGCTGCCCTTTGCTTCAGGCACACCTCACGCTTCCTCTTCAGTGTGGTGACAACATACAATACATAAAACAAACTGAAGTAGATTTTTCAAAGCAACCATTTTCCGTAAAAGTTAGATAGAAGTCAAATTCATTAATAACTGAGAGATAAAATAAATATGTAAATTTCTTAATGCATCGCAAAGAGTAAATTTACATAAGAAATTCATTTTCTTTACTTCACAAAGCCGGCGAGATAAGAATGTTTCTTGTCAAAATACTTCCTCGTTTTATGAATTATTTTTTAACCCTATAGCATTAAGAAAATGCTTCGAAATTTAATATTAACGAGTGGATTTTTGCGATTTTGTTTCCTATTATGGTTATTGCGTCACTTAAATGTACACAGATTCCAAAGTCACCTGCTTCGTGATCTTAAACTTATTTACAGAGCAGAAATTGTTCTGTTTTCTAGCAATAAGATAAAAACCAAAACATCAAGACGTCACATAATTTCAAAAACAATGAAGATTATCTAATAGACTTGCTATAAATGGCTTATCTTTTGTTGTTGTTTGTATAGCTTAATGCGTCATGATTCAGGCTTCAGAAGATCAGAATCTTGATCATCCTGAATATGATTCAAAAAGTTTCATCTTGAAATCTTGATATTTTGGTTGGTGTCCCGGATATTAAGACTTTTGTGCCAGATTTATTCACCCTTGATTTGCAAATATTGGAGATTTATTGGTAAAATAACCGTGATAAATCGAAAAGCACTACAATACTTTGTGTATCTCTGATCGTAATAAATTGATAATATGTAGAAATGTTCTAGTGACCCAAATTAAATGACCACCATAAAAATGCTACAATAAAATAATACAGACTGACACGAAAATATGATTAGATAAGTTAAGAATATATATATAATTATGCACTCTGCAGAATCAAATAGAAATTGTGGCAGCGACAAACCTTGATTGTATATTTTGAAAAATACAAAAGCTACCGCAAGTTTCTTCCTTATCTCGCAGGCTTTGTGCATTATCTCGACAAAAAAATATGTTTACTCTTCACCATCACGAGAGGAAATTCAATGAAAATGTCACGTTAGAGCCCAGGAAAACCAAAGTTCAAAGACATATTTATCAACCTACCGTGCAAAATTGTTTTCTCACATGGAAATCTCGGGCGAATCAAGGTCTATCGCATCAAGTTATTACCATGGAAAGTAATAAAGTTTACGCTATTTGCATGTTATATGACCGAAGAACACTTTAGAACACTATACATAGTAAAAGTAAGTTAGTTTATCCAATTTGCGTTGTGCAATAACACATCACGAGGCCTCTTTGTCCATGAGATGACGAAGAAAAACTGCTTTTTACATGTAAATTTGGAAGATGAAATTTATTATTTGTCGTAACATCACTCAAAAACAGCAATAAATTCTTTTCAATTACCTCTCGCCTCATCGCAATGGGCCAAATTGAGAGATTATCATACAATTTATGCAATTTTCACACATTCTTCACGCAACAAAACAACAATTCCGAGCGCAAGGAAGTGAGCACGAAATCACTGTGAAAACTGATCTCTGATAGCACAATTGCGACCGAACGGTGAGACTTTGGATCAACAAATGAATGAAAATCCGGGATTTATCTCAGTATCAGAGCACACACTTTATTGCACTCTCTCTCTCACTCTACGCAAACATCGAGAGGGTGTCGCGCGAGAGTGCCAACAGTAAATCATTGAGGAATAGAAACAAATCGTGCCCAGTCTGGGGAAAATGCATCCTTCAGTGTGAAATTGCAGGACAGAATATTAATTATTATCCATTTCCATTTTCTCCATTCTTTCTCCACTTGAAAATCGATATTATTACAAACTTAGATTTGGCCGAAGGGTTGAAACTACATTTCCATACTCTCTAGAGTCATCAAGTGAAATTGTAATTCAACTTTTGCTCAAGTGAGCTTTACCACAATAAGAAAAAAAAAAGAAATAATTATATGTATTTTAAGCATAAAAGTCTATTGGCAAATGAAGAAAACGTCGCTGAGAATTGAGTGATTCTAAACTCATGATTAATGTCCATAAATTAAAACTTACAGCCTAATTGCAAATGATTAATGACTCTCTATATCTCTGATAAATTCAATAATAATGTCTCTAAGGTCTAGTCTATAGAGTAAATTCTATTGTAAATATAACTTCTCTCACGTTAATTGATATTGAAGTCTATGACGGTCAATTCAAACTTCCTCCTCACGTCATATCGCTAAAATCAAAGGTATTCACTACATATACACAGAGAAATGCACAAAATCTTCTCACAGGACTTCCGGAGGATCACAATTGGGACGACGTCTTCAAGCTGTAGAATCGACTGTGAGCTCAAGACCGCGGTTGCCATTCGTGCTAGACGCTGCGTTGGCATTCATGTCCGGCGACGAGGCGTTGGCTGTGCCCAAAAGGGCGGAAAACAGGGAAATTGTCTCTGTCGCCTTGAAGTTGGTCTCCTCGAGATCACTCTGCAGCTTCCTGAGGGCAGGACACTGATCCACAATCGACTGGCAACCATTGAGAATCTACAAACACCACAATTTAGCAATTTTCCGCACAATCAGCCTCGATCTAACTTCACCTCCAGCGCTCTATCGATGGCCTCATACTGCTTCTTGGCCTCGCTTATGATCTGCCCAGAGCCGCCGAACAATTGACGCTCTTTGAGGAGAAAATGCTCTCTCAGGGACGGAATTTCCTGGCAGGCTGTCACAATGGAGGAGATAAGCTCAGGCTCAGGTACACTTCCATCCACCTTCCATGACTGTATTGTGGCCAGAACGTCCTCCTTGGTCATCATCTTAACTCCACTCTGACACAGAGTGCTCAAATTACAAATATCCTCATTCAGTCTCTACAATAAACAAAGCACACTCATTTAGAATCGCAAGTCTAATCGCAACACTGGCAAATCTCACATCAATTTCAGCGCGATGCTTCTGCAATTCAGTCCGACTGAGAGCCAAATCGTTGGCCTTCTGGCAAAGTTGCTGAGAAGCGTCAGTCAGTTCACCTTTCAGCTTACTGTTCACACCCTCCCAATCCTTCAGCTTCTCCACCATTTCATCCTTGTTCACTTGCAATTTGTTTCTGAAAAAAAGAAACACAAGAATTTAGCCCACAATCACAGCAGATAAAGCAAATATCATCGTCCTGACTTGTCAGAAATGAGATGCTGAATGCAATTGTCATTGTCCAGCTGAACAATGCGAAGAACTTTGAGGAGTCTCGTCACGAGATTGTCCACATGAATGACTTGGTCGACGAGCGTCTGAGCTGAGCCAAATTCGCTGATTGATGGAATCTCAGCCATTGACTCGTGCACGCTAATATCCTCAGACAAGCTGTTCTCCCCAGATTGTTGCCTGAAAGACATGAAAAGCTGAATGTCCTCACGTTTCACAGCACAATCTCAGTCATAATCTCACCTCAAGCACGACCGCACGTCTCTCATGAGCGACGTCTGCAGCTCAATCTGCTGTCGATTGGCGATGGCCTGTGACAAATTGTTTAGCGAATCGTCGTGCTTCATCATTTCTGTCGGGCACTCGATCTGCGACAGCGCCATTCCAGACGACGACACAAGGTTCTGCGAATGGGAATCGGGCAGCGTGACATCTTCCAGGACATTCTCCATCATGAGGCAGGGTTCAGTCTCCGAGTCGAGCATCTCCGTAGAGTCAGAGTCTTCTGCGGGTGAAAGAAGCCATCGCGCATTAGTGAGGATAATTCTCCCTTTGGCTGTGAGTGATGTTACAATTTACCTATCGATAGAGCCGCCGTGTCCTTTCTAGCAGCAGAAGCGGGCGCTTCCGGCTGCTGTCGATGAATGGCTGTGGCATTCCTTATGGCATTGATGACGACGGCAATGAATGAGTGACTTCTTTGCGGCGACAAAGATCCATCATTGTTGCTCGCCGCCAATTTCTTCGCAATCTCGAACTCTGGACTGCCCTCGCCACTGCTGGCACTCTGCGAGTACGCCTCATTGTGGTAGACGACGTCCTTCGGGTGTGTGTGTGGAGGAAAAGACGGTCATTAGTGACTTGTGGAAATTCGCAACATTTCCTTGCCATGAGATTTTTTATGTTGTGAACGAATGATATTCATGCTTCAAGAAGGTCAACACAAAACGCATGCATCAGAATCAAATCTCTTCTGCTTTGTGGCGCAGAAAAAAGGGTAAGAGAGAGAAATATTGATAAAAAACACATCAAATTCCCTTATCAGCGCATTATGGAACTCACCTCAGACAAGCTCGTCTCTGATTGCATGAGTGTGAATTAATGAGTATTCTTTATCTATGGGTTTGTCTTTGCAACACTTCTTCATCACTTACTCTCTCAGCCTTTTCGCTGCGTTTCATGTCAAGCATTCACTCATTTGAAGAATCATCTTCAAATCTGGACACTTCTGTGTTGTCCCGCCAACAAATTCAACAATCAACAGAACAACAACGCCAAGGAATGAACCATGAAAATGTGCATGAGCAGAGAAGCGTCTCATTTCTCACTTACCTCGAGATCCTGCTCGGAGATGTTGTAGGAAGATATCAGCTGCTCCACGAGATTGTCCAGTCTGGAGCCGAGATTTGAGAGCGCCACTGAAGCACCGGAAACCGCGGCGCTCTGCTGACAAATCAGATCCTTGCTCCGTGCTTCCAGAGCTCCGTACTTGGCCTGCATTCCCATGTTCTCTTGCCTGCCAGGAGGGAAAGGACATCAGCAGAGTTCTCACAATTCATCACACTCAACACTCACCTTCGCTGCTCAGTCGTTCTGACTAGATGGCGACATTCCTCCTGCAGCCTCTCGATGTCCGCGTCCTTCTGCCGGCACTTGTGCTGCCACGATTGCGTCTCCACCTCAGCCTCCTTCAGGGCGTCCATCAGGGACACCTTCTCATTGTGCAGGAACTCCTGCAGCTCATGAGCCTCCTTGTCGGCGGACTCGCGATCCTCAATCAGCACTTTCTCGCGCTCCAGCGATTGCTGCAAGTCGCGCTGAAGGCTGTTGCAAATCCACCTGAGCTTGCTAATCTCCGCCTTCTGCTGCTCCGCCACGTGCACATCCGTGGTCAACTTCGACTCCAGTATCATCAAGCTGTCCGCACTTTCCGCCTCGCTGCACGGCGTCACGTGCACAGACTCGAGCATGGCGAACACTCGCTCAGAGTTCGATTGCAGCTCTCGCTGAATGAGGAGCTTTTCCTCACGTTCGCGCATCAATTCCTGTTGCATGGCGTTGATTTGTTGCGCCCGCTCAGCCAGGCTGTTCTGCAGACTCATCTGATCCTCCTTTAGTCTGTTCACCGTAGTCTCGAGGGCTTCAATCTCCCGATCGCGGATATCCGACTGAACGCCAGTCGATGTGGTTTCAGGAGCGTGAGCATCGATGTATTTGGCACTTCCCGCAAATGCGTCTGCAACGTCTTGGCTGGTGATCGCCGTCTGGATGGACATTTCGTGATAGATCTTTGTCTTCGGCGAAGCCTTCTTAGGCGTCCTCGGATAGACGGGAAGAGTTTTGGCCGGAGAATCTTTCGGTGTGGAGCGTCGCGATCGCGAGACATCTCTGGACATAGAGTTGCTCCTGGAAGTCTTCTCCGCCTCCTCACTCGGCATCTCTTTCCGCCGCCTCGGCAATGTGCCGTACTTGTCCAGGGGAGAGCTCTTCTCCAGCGCCAGAATGCCCAGTCTCGTCTTCACGTTCACCACATCGCTGGTCGGAGTGGAGAGTCGTCCGGCCCGAGGAACAGTCGGGCCATTGCGACTGCCCACGGAGGGCCATCGCCGATCGTCAGTGGGCGTCACGCCAGGAGTTCTGCCTCGCGACAGCGACGGAGTCCTCGTGATTGTGCTCTTCTGTGGCGACGAGACGTCCTTCAGCGGTGCTTGTGTGTCCAATTTCGTGGGTCTCCTCACAGAATTGGTCCTCGTGAGCGTCGTGAACGGAGGCTGAGGCACTTTTTCACGGGATCTCGCCCTCTCAGAGGTGGCCAGGAATGGAGTGCTCCTCGTGGCAGAAGTCGCTCTTCCTCTCGCTCTCAACACTCCCGGATCTGCAGTCTTCTTCACCAGTGCCGTCTTTGGCGCCGGCGGCTCGCTCACCGCCACCTTCTTCTTCCCCACAGAACGCCGGCTGGTCAGCGGCTGTCCCGACACGGACGAGCTCTCGCTGCCGCCGCCCTCGCTCGTGCAATCGTGCCGCTGGATCAGCATTCCGCTCAGCGTCTTCTCGCACGTGTCCGAGCAGAAGCTCACCATGCTGGAGTTACAGGACACCGTCCCGGCGGCGTCCTCGTAGCCTCCGGCGCTGCTCGCGTAGCCGCCACTGTTGCTGCTGAGCGCTCTCTCCAGCACACCAACTCCGGCCGCAGTCTCGCGCGAACTGGCGCCCACAAACTCCACTCCGCTATCGCTGCCCTCGCCATTAATCACGGCGATTCCCTCGCGCAGCTCCAGGGCCGCCATCTTCCTGTCCAGCACCTCCTCGCACACGTCCATTCGTCCTGAACTAGTCTCGTGCTTCTGCAGATGTCCAAGATCCCAGCTTTAGCAGTTCATCTGGAAAGAGTGGAAAACCGTAGTCATCCATCTGTAGAAAAGTCCATGGGTTGCGATAAGCGTTTCTTGTCTTCGACTCAGAATAATGAAACGTGATTTTGTTATCTTCCTTATCTAGCAATAACATCAGCTTTGAGAAGAGAGAAAGAAAGAGAAGAAAAGAAAGAGTTTGTCTTGCATTTGTTGATGATAACGAGATCATCCAACTACAATATGTATTTATCAAAACTAATTCCTTAATGAGTGTCTTTAATTGAGAACGCTTCGGTACATTCTCTCTGATATTTCCCTCTGATATGTCTATTTATAAAATGCCCAATTTCGCCCGCTTTCCCCTATACATTTCAACAATTGATTATTTATACTTCCAATATACACGACGCGGTGTCACATTATGGTGAAGTCAATTTATTTATTGGAGAAATAGTTGGTTAGTCTCTCGGTTGAGTGCAAGGTTAAAAGTACAAGAATTATAATTTAAACAACAAACATTTCGTGCGCTATTTTCAGTTTACGCTGAAAATCATTAACAGAAGGTCAAAAGGGAAAAATCGATGCGGGTGCAACAAAGCACCATGGAAACCTTTGGGCACGTGCGAAATTGACGTTGCTCAAATGTGCCACCTTTCGTGTCACTTCACATTGATTTTGCTGAACTTGAAGTGCAAATGAAGAAGTTGTACACGTGATTTCTGGGTTTGAAAGACAATAAAATACAGCAAGAAGCGGACGAGTGACTCTCTAGCGATTTTAATTGTCTTATTGTTGCTTCAGAGAAAATCCCATTGAGCCTCTTAAATTAATATCCCAAGTGAAATTTCCATAAAACAGCCATTTCTTCACTCTGTCACTGACGGAAGATCTCTTCGTCAAGGTGACCCTCAAAATTGTCAGCGAATTTTATGCTTCAATGTAGCAGAAGATTGCCAAAATCCTCTCATCTCACTATTTTCTGCTCTTTCTTGCTGGAAACATCTTATGACTTGCTTCTCGTTACGTCGCAATTTGTTGAGAAATATTAGAAATTCCACATTTTATTTCCCTCGTCATCGCATCAGCATGAATTTTTTTCATGAAAACTTTCCCCCGAAAATATACAATCATGCGAATTGGATTTTGAAGGGTTGAGATATAAACGTAATTGAATAGCTTTCGGCAACACCCAACTTTTTGTCATGTTGTGATTTTGATAAAGGTTTTTTTCGCGTTTCTTCGCGAGGGAAAATCGTGCAGAAGCTCTTAATGTCCCCTTAACGGGTTTTCCCACGCAAACTCTTGATGAGACGCGGAATCGCATAAAAGACTTACTGACACATTTTTAATGATCTGTTTATTCTCTGGGGCTGATTTTATTGAGCCACAGCACGGAATTAGAGGCACATTTGCTTATTTAGGACACTTTCTATGAAATGACAGCCCTTTTTGATCGCGTCTGAAAGAAGATTTGTCATGACTGTGAATGAAATTCGCTGGATTTCCGAGAAATGTACGCCTCCATTTGTCTGCAGCGCGGCTTATTTTCACTCACACGAAAAAAAGCATGTAATTGAAGTCTCTCAGATGTTTCCAAAACGCATTTCATATGGAAATCATGTCAAGAAGACACACGCAAAAAGCCGCCTTTTTGCGCCCACAAGAATTGAAAGTTGATGAGAATTAAATTATTCTTCCTGGTGAAATGCCGAGACGAACTGGGCGAAAAAAATTAAATTCAGCAAGATTGATATCTTCAAATGGGGTTCATGGTTAGAAGTTGGAGGCAAAAGAAGAGCGATTTTGGCTTTCGAGGTCAGAAATGCGTACGAGGAAAGAGATGTCTTCTGATGTGGACTGTTTTATGGCATCGAAACAGAGGCTTAATTAATGAATGATGGCAGTGTAATCGATTCTAAATTGGTTAATTGCCCACTCAAATTTCTCTTACGGCTCAAACAAAACATGTGTATGTAGTTTTCAATTTATGAACGACTGCCACTTTGTCTCTTGTTCGGATGTCTTATTGTTTTGCCAAAGATCCGCATCACTAAATCACAAGCGCATTTGAAAATAAAATGGAAAAAAAGAGTGAGAAGCAGAGATAATTCCATGTATCATGAATGGAGTCATAAAAGAGTTTTCCTTTTTACCTCACATTCATTCATCCATAGAGAACACTCATTCCCTCACTTGTAAATTAATCAATTCAATTCATTGAAACTCATGATTTCCGTCCATCATGTGGATGAACGTGAAATTGCAAAGTGCAAGTCTTTCACTATAATTTACAACACTGGAATTTGTTGATCTCATGAAAAATACACTGGTTTTTTTTTTTAATGGGAACTCCTCACCAATCCAACTCACACTGCATTTTGCCACGCCAGCAAAAGTAAACACATATTCGGAAATGTTGTTCATTATATGATTCCCTCAGCATTAACAAACACTGTACAGTCGCCAAGAAAAAAAATCTGCATGCAAAAACACAGTAATTTCTATTAACATTTTCCTTGAAATGTTGTAATTTGCAGTCTTCTAATTGAAGCTCTTTCGCGAGTGATCTTTTTGAAAAGTCGGTCTATCATTGACATCAACTGGGCAATATCGCAATTTCCTTCCGCATGAAACAAAGCACGGCGCATTGCTGGTCACTCTATGTAATTTATGTCATCCGATAGTGTGGACAGAGTCAATTAATACACTAAATATTCACAATCGCGCCAGCAATCTTGCATTGTATGCTCCAGAACTATTAATCATCTTCAAAAATGCCTCAATTGCTTCACCCAAATCACCACAGACGCAGAGAGCACTTTGTTATCACCCACACGGTATCAAATTGATAAATTTCCCTCTTTTCTGACCCTATTTACTGAACAGCTCAATTTACCATCCACAGCCTCTGAATTCCTGCTGGGAATTTCGCAATTCCATATGAAATTTCATTAAAAGCTTGAGGACATTCGCTTTATTTTATCTGATTACAGGAGATTTTATCGGAAGAACAACCACAGAAATTATAATGAAGTTTCTTTCCCAAGTTCAACTAATTATTATATCAAGAATATCTTGGCGTTTTAATTTGAAACTCACAATATTCATAAATAAAGAGAAATCTTCCAACTTTACCCTATAAATGTACTTCGATGAAACACGTGGAACTCTTTCAGAATTGGAGTGAGAGAAAAGAGTAGAATGTCAATGAAATAAAACAGAATTTCAAATAAATAGAAGGGCATTTCGGTAGAGAATTCTTCACTCGGCGCTGAACTGTGTTATTTCATCTCCGTCTCAAAATAATCACTCACACGCGTTCTGTTTAAATAAATATTTGAAATGGCAATAACAATGGAAATTTCACCCCAAGAGCCGCACAATTCAGCCCAGACAGAAATTGCCGTGAGGGTGTGGGGAATTGCATTTCGCCCTCGCAGCAATTGTGGTCGGCGTATAACAGTTCGCTCTAGCCCATCTCTAGCTAGAGCTGGAGCGCAGAGTGATTTCCCATGCATGCTGAATCCGCCTCCTCGCTGCTGAAGGCAGTCGTGCAGAGACGATGGAGCGAAAGAATGGTGGAGAACGATTGAGTGGACAGAAAGAAATTTCTGTCTCACCGCAGAGGTGAGCGATGCTACAATGGAGCGGCAAAAAATGAGCTGAAGAGGTGAGCAGGAGAAAAATGAGAAGAAACGTGTGTAAATTCATGGAACCGGAATACCTTGGAAGGTCACAAGAGCACACAACACTGAAACACGATCACGTGAGATTTTTTTTCTTCTTCCCCGGGACGCTCACAAGAGCCATCGTTAATCGCTGAGAGAGATTCCTCACGAGTGACTATGGAAATGACAGAGGGAATTGTAATTGAAGAGATGATGATCGTCACCCACGAAACCGGATGACTTGCCATTGAATTCTTTGCCCTCTCTGACTTCTGAAGTGCATTCAATTGCCTTCGCATGAAGGCTCATTTCCGTGTTGGAATGCACAGGAGAATAATATTCTGTCCAAATTGACAATATATACGCTCGCTTCGTACGCTCTCGGCGTAAGTTCTTGAAAATTGAGGAAGCATGAATCATAAAGTGACGAAAGAGAATTTTTCGATTTGCTCCACAAACACTGTGAAATCACCTTTCAGTCAATGACGATAAAATTGTGTAAAAAATACCTCTATTAACTGTCTTTGGCTGCGCTTCTGACTGCTTTATTGCTTCTCTCCTGAGAAAAAATCATCAAAGAAATTTCCGTTGTTCTCATAAAAAAAATTACCAAATAATTATTAAAATATTCCACCTTATATCACACTTTATGATGTACATTTCATCCTCTGGATAGCATCTGCACTAATCAATCTTCACCTCTTAATTGCAAAAGTCCTCCGCGTAAGACAATCTCATGAGAGAATTACAACACTGGATGATTCAAGCGAGACTTTGACGACAAACCATCCGGACAATAAAGTCACTAAGCACAGTAATTCAATGAAAAGGGGAAACTCGAGTCTCTCTCAAGACAATAATGCAGCAAAACTTGCACACATTGCAGAATTCACTGCCCTCAGAATGTCTCGCAAAGTCTCTAATTAAATACTCAAAGCCACAAATGCACATTCACTTCCCTCCAGAATATTCACCATCTTTTCTTTCTTTTTTCAGCAAAACGGCGATAGACAATGCGAGGTCATTGTCCAAATTTGGTGTTTTGGGTTTCGAGTACGTCAACTTTTACCACAATTCAATGCAAAAATGCACATTTCCGACATGCAAGTATAAAATCTGTGTGACAAAAAAGGCCAAATCTTTCATCTCACATTGCCCTCGCTGCCATAATTAAGCATTAACTCTCAACTGAGGCGAGAATTTCTCCATCAAGAGGCCAAATGAGCTGAGAAATTGGATTGCAAACGCCGCTGCTTAACTCAATTATTTAATTCTTTTCAATATCAAGCCATTCCCATTTAGGCACCACTCAATTACCAACTTGAAATAATTGAGGGTATAAA